TCTGATGTTTTCAAAGAGCGCTGGTAACTGTTATGTAGAGCAAACCTTTGGCTACATTGTATCCATTTTAGATCACATGAACCGCGTTTACCAAGTCCGTTATAATTATTTATTTATTAAAAACCGCGACTTTTTCATTGCGCTTATCACGTAAAAGTACCAAAAAATCCAAAAAGTTGCTGTTTCGAAGCGAATCAAAGTTGGTTATGTTGCATAAATGATGTTTAGTAAGAATTATGTTTCAATACGCAGAAACTTCAGAAGCTTTAGTGTGTTTTATGGAGTTGCGTGTTTCATGACTTTGCCAAAGATCGAGACCTCCGGAGAAATAATTTTTTGAAGCTAAAATCAGCAGACTAGAAGGATGTAACAATACCAGCTTGTAGTCCGAGAGTTGCTCTATTTGATCCATACTTAATCCTTTTCGAAACTTTGTAATGAAATTTCTAAAAATTAGCCTAACTTTGAGCAGGTAAAATTGACAGGTGGAGAATTTTGGCAATTATCAAGGAAAGCACACAAGATTATGGTATGAATATGTATTTGTAAGAAAGAGAAGGAAAAGCTGCATCGAATGCATGTTGTAACTCGCTCAGGTCTTTATTGTGCCTGGTTTTGCAGTGGTGTGAAAAAACTGACAAAACTTTCGGGACAACCTAATACTCTACTAATTCTACTTATGGCAGGGAATTACGAGCAGGTAAGTTAGCTTCAGTGTAAGTATATAGAGTATCTTTGTTACACTGCACTCTTACCGTCATCCTACAGTAGTGACAAAAGCTATAGTGTCATCCAGTAGTATTAGAATCCCAACTAGGCAGAGCAAATTAGAGACAAAAATCTTCTTTTCTTTTTTCTTAAACAAAAGAGCACTATTCGCTCATTTTTTCGACCTCCCTCCTTATTTTCAACAAACTTGCTTACCCCCTCCCCCGCCCCACCGAGAGCTCGGCTTTGAAAAGAATAATCCAACGATCATTCCAGTAACATTATGGGTCCCATAAGCGTTACTCGTATCTGACTAATGGCTTTGCTGCCAATTGTTTTTCCGGTTGATTTCACCGCAGATATTTTTGTTTGGCAAATTTCATTGTTGCCGTTGGGGGTGGCGGATGCGATGAATCGCCTATTTTGCACTGCCACTTTCCGGGTTGAGGGGAGGGGAAGGGGGGGGGGGGGGCCTTATCCGAGAGAATTACTTAAGCTCAGAGCGCGCTCAGTTCAGCGCAATTCCGGTTTCGTTCGGGGCCGAGGGGCGATTGCAAATGGCACAAAGCGATCATCAGCGCTTCTATTCATTTCTTGGTTTGCATGGAATGCAACTGAAGGAAGTTTTTTTGCTTCCCCCCCCCCCCCTCCCCTCTCCTCGTTCTCCCAGTCAACTCGTTCGTTCCAAGCTCAAATTCTACTTTACGTTTGTTTGTTTACTCTATTTCTGCCCCACAAATCTTGCTTTATGCTTCATTTCTATAAGTTACTCGCTCGAGAACCCGGGGGGGGGGGGAGATTTCCGGTGGTGGCGATTGTATGTACGAAAAGCCAAAGCAATAATATGTTATGACACTTCTATTACTCTCAATGCTTTTGCCAAACCAGTCGAATTACACCTTCGTTCATTGCCGAGCCCGAACGAGCGGCGCTTTTCGGATAAATGCCTACTTGGATCTCAATAAGCATCGCTCTAACTAGATTTTGTCCAGGAAGTTCATTATATAGCTATCGACAAACTCAAGAAATAACTCGACATTTTTCTAGAAAAAAATAAAAAGCCAGAAATGTTACCATTTTTACACCAAATTCTTTTTTTCTAAAGAATTTTCAACCTTATATGCATCTTATTCTTTTCTGGACACTGAAAAACAAAAAATTCAGTGGATCTTGTGTTTACCTAGTTCTTCCGTTCTGACAAATGCCGAATGTCCTTGAAAAAGGAAATAGAGAAATACTACGCGTAAATTCTTGGAAGAAAAGTGAAGAAATCAAATCTACATACTGTTGCTCCCGATATTCTGCTTGACCAACTCTCCCAACTTTTAATTCCATTTACTTCATAATTTCTATGGACCCACTAATCTACAAGAGAAATTCAACCCCTGATTATTCGTCTCCTAAATTTTTGTTCATTTTGATAAGTGCCGGGACTTTATAAGAAAAATGAATAGATAAAAAAATGCCTCACCGTTTCCGTTATGCATGCTTTGCAAGATCTAGCAAGAGTCCATTACCCATAACAACTCGCTTAACCCTTAGAAATAAGGATTTTCGATCTCCCCCCCCCCCTTTGCCCTCCCCCTTCCTCCCGATGTTATACCTCGAAATCTTTCATTCCTTACATAAGTTATAAAATTGCGTGAGGAACTTGTTTTTAATCGCAAATAACTATTCTAAAATTCAAGACTTCGTCATATATATAATAAATTTTCTCTGCTTTGTAGTATGCTTTTTTTCCAAAAATTTAGTTATATACCTCAAAAGATAGAGCATTACAAAGATTTTTTTCGGTGACCTCCACAGCCTTTCATTCCGAAAAAAATTTCTGTACCCCCTCCCCTCCCCTAATCCTGAACAAAAATATTGGGGCTACTGTCTTTGCAATGTATATGAAATTTTCTTTAAAATTTCAACTCAATCGACGAATCAACTTGGATGAATATGTAAACAAAAAAAATAATCCTTCAAATAGTTTTTCCATGTGCTCTCTTATTTAAACATGAGCATTAATCGACTTTGTAAACGAAATTCTGCCAAACAGACTTACAAATAAATTTAGGTATTCATCATAAAATCTGTTTGGCACAATATCATATACAAAATATTCGTTCAAAATTCTGCCGGTATCACTGTATGCCTTGAAACATTCGAGCACTTTCCATAGTTTGAAGTAAAGGCCAGGAGTTGATGTTTATATGATACACTTTATCGTAGAATCTTAACAGTCTTAGCCCTCGTGCATATCGGTTGAAAGCTGTCATAATCTACGATGCAAAAAAAACGATTTGATTAGACTTAGTTGAGCTTCAGCAATTGTGATACTGGGGTCAATTGATGGATCTATGATAGAGATCTTTACCGACTTCCAAAATATGGAGATATTTTGCTTATGTGTTGCGATTTATGAAAAAAATGAGCACTCAAATCTCAGTCCAGCGTGTCTTCTAAAACAACCATATCTCAACTTATCTTCTAATGTAGCAAATGCATTTACAATGTTTTTGGAATAATATGTAGTAGGGAACAAATGCAAAAGTCTACTACAGTATCCTAAATTCAATTTTTCCATTTATCCGCTTTCCCTTATGGATGTAATTTTTCACACGTTGTGAAATGGGCAGTGACATCCATTCCACGTATTCAGAAAACCTACAACAAATCCATTAGCCTTTGTATTTATTACAACATCTCCCTAGACAACTTCTCCTGTTTTATATTCAAATGCATTTTGGAGTAAAATTTGTTTCAAGCAGGAGAACACCAGGATGGTTTTTCTCAAAGTCATGCAAGTTTACTAGTTTTCTTCCACTCTCTCCACCTCTACTTGTATCAAACTTGATCTGTAAGAGTTGTTGTCTTACTTTCGAATTTTGAGAAAGCGCGTACCAGAAAGATCTTCGGTATTTTTGCTTGAGCAATCCCACCTCAGTCTTTAAAATTGGAGAGACTAAGTGGTTGATTTTCATGAAAACTATTATATTATCGTCCAATCTACGAAGAGCCTGCGAAATTCGCTTCCGGGTGAGAAAAAGAAAGGAAAAAATATTGCAAAAAAAAACTCGAAACAAGAAATTTTCGATTTTTGTTTCGGAGGTTTGAATAGAAACAGCAACAACGTAACCACTTTTACTCACATTTTTTTTCACCTAAAGCTTACAGACCCCTTCTTATAGTACAGTCATGGGCAGAAGACCTAAGCAGAGATGTACACAGTTATATTTTGGCCCAACAATAAAAATTTATAAGGGCTTTGACGCCTATGGAATTACTTTTTATCAACTTTAACATTTGTTCTTCCTATTAGGTTGTCCCAAAAGTAAACGTATTTCTAAATAAACAAACCATTTTTGTTTTCCTAGCAGACTTAGGAGGTTATGAAAATTATGGGAATTCAACTTTAACATTACCTGATATTCATTCAGCAAGAAGTGGAAAGGAAATCTGGAGGTGCGACAACATTTGGGATGAAATTTCCCCTTCCTCCCCCTTTCCCTCCCCCGACTCCCAAAAGTAGGTCGCGAAACTCTGGAAACTGCTTGCTGTGTTTTGGAATTGCGCAAGAATTTTTTTACTTACACTAAATAATATTTGGAAGCCCAGAAAATCTCAGTAATTAGGCTTGTGAACAATTTTTTCTGGAACATCGCTGCATACGCCCCTTTTCTAAGAATTTAGGGACGGGCTTGCGAAAGTTTGGGAAAACGCCAAAAATTCGATGTCTGTGGCAAACGTGGCGCCTGTTCACTTAAACAAAATTTTTGCGCGCCCGCGCTTCCGATAAAAATTCCGAACGTCAACTTTGACCCACATTTCTCCTTTACAGCTAATCGTTCCTTTTCTTCCAATCAAAAACACGATTTCAACGCAGGACCTTTTAGTAGAGGTTAGTGAATCCACGGATGAGCCAGACATTTCAGCCTGCTCGTGTCCGTTGTCACGCTTTCTGATCAACAGCGTACACAGCATTATTATACTTCCTGTCATTATAAATCCTCGCTACATCATCGTCGCCGCTACACTGAATACACTGAATCTTTCGCCTTCTAATTATGGTTGCTTGTTTTATTCCTCTGCTGCACCTCTAACTCAGCTATTCCAGCTATGCAAAGATGAGCAGCTCAAAACCTGCAATTATTGCTGTTGAATAATTAATTGTCACCCTCAGAAAATGACTCTTTGTCATTTTGGTTTCTATGGCTACTTCCGGCCAGATTACGATCATCCCGTATTGTCGTTGATTTTATACTACAATTCTGAGAAAATCGCCATGAAATTGTTGTCTTTGCAGATGAAGAGTGATGAGTGATGTTGTTAGCTATTCGGCTCCTACTCCTCCCTTATTATCTTCTTCTTCTTTTGACGAATCCCAGCTCTGCTCAACACTGCTATTCATGCTCCGGAACGTGTCATAGCGAGCCGTGCAACTGCCAGGTGAGAAATTATCTAAATTATCCTTTCTAGAGAATCCGGCAGAGGGTGGCACGTGCCAAGCCTGGAACTTTTTCTGAGAAAATTAGCAAAAAAGTGCACATCCGAGGTACCACAGTTCAACCTCCCGGACTTGGACGGTTGGAGCGGGGAGGGGGGGGGAGAGGATGCTGTAATCGAACGAAAAAAACCTGAAGTATTGTTTCTTTATCATCTCTTCTCTATATTTCCATTCATATAAAAAGCCTTGTGAATAAAAAGCGTAGCTTTGATTTTGTTAGTTATTAGTTTATTAGTTAAAAAAAACATTTTAAGACTGCTCTTTCTCCTCGAATCAAATTTTTGACTTGAACCTCTATAACAGCTTTATCGGACCTAGAAAATGATAGAGGAACCGTTTTATAGATCCGCTCAAAGTCATCTACAAAACAAGAAGCGTTTATTTTTTGCACGTATGACTCATTGAACAATACGAAATTTCATGGGAGAGTTACATAAAAGGCTTAAATAAAAAATTTTCAATCAGAATGTTGACATAAATTAGTTGCATTTTTAAGCTATTAGATCGTGACGAGTCTCACTTTTTCAACGGAAACAACGCTGAAATTTTAAGCAAAATTGAGAATAATCTCAATGAGATTTTGTCCTTGCACTCGAACAAACTCTGAATCGAAGAACAATTTTTGCGCTTTTTTGTATAGGATACGTGAACCAGGCACTGACTACATACTTCCTCTACACTCCTTAGCCCTTATGCTTACGAAATAGTGAGTTTCGAAAGAACTGGCCAGCAGAGGCAATAAGTGGAGAGCAAACGTCTTTTCTCAAATTTCCTTCCTGAACTGCGATGTAGAAGGAAAAAATTCTAGTAGAAAATGCTGCTAAAATTAATCTTGTCTAGTAAAAAATTACTCCGATTTCTTGACTTGGAATTTTTTGGTGTCTCCCTGGTACTGTTATCGGGCTGCAGATGTTTTACGGAAGCTTGGTTTATTATAGAAAATTTTTTGAAATTCATTATCGAGTGTGATTTGCTTGCCGATCGAACCAGTAGCTCTTACAGATTTTCCTTGAGGCAGAAAAACTAAATTTAGACAAATTCCGCAACTTATTTTTCCAATGCCGCAACACCATGTCTGCATGAAAATTTTATTCGGGTTCGATAATGACTTCTGTCGAGCCGGAAGTGTGGTAGCGTGAGCACAGTGTGCTTGTTAGGCAGACATGACCGGACAAGCTCTGCAACTCAAATCTAAATGAGAGGAGGGGGAAGGGCAGGGAACAAATGCACTTTGCAAATGTCAAAGTCTTATTTCTGATTTTGACCTATATAATACAATTTTTTAGATGGGTTCGTGTCCATCGAACCAGTGCTTTATTGAGAAGAAACCTACCGAAGAACGAGGAGTCTTTCGAATAACAAAGGGTTTGTTGAAAGTTATATAAATTTGTTAGTAATATTAAAAAATACACAGAGAAAAAATCCAGAAAATAACTAAAGGAACAAGTGAGTACGAAAATTTTATCTACCCTGCGAAACGTAACTGACGTTAGACTGTATCTTAAAAACTATACTTCGTTGTAATCTTTGAGTAAAGAATAAGATTTCGTAAAAAATTGGTAAATTTTGAAGAACTATTAAAATTTGACTAGAAAATTGAGAATTTGACGTTGAAAAATTCATAGGCCGATAAATGGAATACAAAAACTATGAGATACTAAAACCAATAAGTTAAGAACAGTGGCATCGTTACAATTTTGAGCGGAGGGGGGGGGTAGCTTTGGCCGGCTTACCTAAGAAATTTTTAGAAGCTTCAAGATTTGCAAGTTCAAAATTCTCATTTTGTTTTGATGAAGGAGTGAAACAAAACAGTTCTTTTTGAAAGCTGTGTCCATTTTTATTCACAGTTGATTAAATGTAGATATTTAATTATACGCAAAATTTTTTACAGACTCTTCTCAAATATTCGGCAAACCGCTCTAGAAAACGCGCTCCCTCTCCGCCCATTCTTGCCTCCCTCCCTTCCCTCCTCGGCCACTGGGTAGCAAATGATTTGTTTTCTTACTTTTCCGGCATGTAATGGTAGATGATTATCACAACCTGCACTGACAGCTGCTGTTTGTTTGTACTGTGAGCAAGACGAGTGAGTAATGAGTGATTTGCGCTGCCATGACAAGACAGATTACAACGCCCGGGTTCGTTGCTCAGATGTTGTCCGTAAAAACCCGGACAAGAACGGGGTTTAAAGTAGATTTAGTGCAAAGCGGGGGGGGGGGGAAGAAAATTCGAAAGGTGATGACTCATATTTTACTTATAGTAAGAAGAGGTAAGATTATATATATATAGCCCAAAAATTGCATGAAAAAGAAGCCAAACTCTTCAAATTTTCAAAATAATATTCGCCGATTTGTAGGATTTTCGAACTTTTGTTATAAATATTGACTTTAGCTAAGCCATTCTTTACTGACATGCGTATAATTCGAAATCAATGCTTACTGAGACTGATCTCATGCTTGGTACGATCAAGATCTCTCTTTGTTAGTGAAAATCTGAAACTGATTTTTGCATAGCCTAAATTTTTATCTGCTACAAATACTTGTAACTTTGAGTTGTCGAAACGAAAGGCTTGCCTGACTAAAAATTAATAATAGTTTCAAACAGTCAAATTCCAATCTTTATTATCTCAAAGAAGATCAATAATTGCCCCGTCTTGAAGTAATTCTTAATTACTAAAAACTTGGTTGCATGTTTGCTTCCCCCCTCCCCCCTCCCTACTCTAGGCGGCCACGCACATATCATTGCTCCCACAAGCCTGCAATTAATATAGCTGACAGAAAATGATATATGATTGCTTCAGCACGATTTGTGCAGGAAATTGCTAGAATTTTTCGGGAATTGCTGGTTTTGAATAAGCGGAAAATAGGGCCATGTGAGATGAGCTGGAGTAAGTCTGTATGCGCAGGCAGAATAATCAACGATTGTTCTATGAATCAGCTCCTTTTCTGCATTTTGACTTCTTTTATAAACCGTACGAAAAGTTCTTGAGGGCGAAACAATTAGAGAAAACCACACAGAAATACCAGGGAGCCCGATATGGCAATGGAAACAGTTAACTTCCTTACTTCAGTAATTGGCCAATACATGAACTCACTCAGTCAAATAAAGAATTGCGACATAAATTAGTCAAAATTTATTGATTTCAGGTTGCCTTCGAAGATCGCCACGCACCCTACCAGGATGTGAATATGACCACTTTTCCGATCATGTCCTCTGCGTTTGTCATGGTTAGTTTTTTTGCGAAGAGTGTATAAAATGGGTCGACTCAAAGTGTGATAATTTTGGAAAATTCCAAGAAACATGTACACGATTGTGCACAAAAGCAGTGAACAAAGTCAGAATGCTCTTCGTTTGAGAAAACCTTTTTCAATGACGGAAGGGCTTGAAAATGGGAGAAACATTTTTTGACAAATATTTGCAAAACAAATCAGATCTATATTATGAGCAAGCAACTTATTTTCGACGTTGACTGTATGAAATGCTCAATGCTTCAGGTGTACTTTCATATTTTTGCATCTGCTCCAAATTAAACAAAGAGAACACAAGCTGTCAAAATCTGTCCAGTGCTTCCATTTCAAACTAACACGGAACCTTTTGTGCAGCACATTATGTTCTTCGAATGTTCATGCATATATCATCAACCCACAAGTCGTTAAGCTGGTACTTGACGTAGGAGCACCAGTTCAACGGCCTTGCTAATGAGTTCGGAAGGAGAGGGGGGAGGAGGAAGGGTTAAGGTCAGCAGATATAGATCACTTAGAAATGGAGTTCTGTGAAAGAGTAAAGGCGAGAGTGAAACGATGTTAAAAAAGTAATGTTTGAAGTGTACTTCGAGCATTTGTTCTTATAGAATTTAGCCTATGTTTACCTTCCAGGGAGACGAAAGAAAAAAGTCATGGATGGTCCTACGAAAATATATTACAAACTGATATTTTTGATGAATCTAATATTTTCAGGTCCCTTTTGCAATGACCATATCTACATTCGAGCAATGGTTCGGCGGAATGTAACTTGCCGAAAATGCACCGAAAGAGATCCCGAATGTGAAGACAAGTGCCAGGGACAATGGTAAGTTTTTATTCACAGTGAAATTCAATGTGACTCTCAGTGTCAACTCAAAATTATTTATCCTGCTTACTTACCTTGACTATTTACTTGTTACGTTTCCGACTCTCCAGTAGCGTTTAGATTCTTGACAACTTTTTTATCTTGGAATAATTGGCTAGAGAGATCTTTCCTCTTCTAATTTCCAGCACTTGAATCTCTTTTCGTTATAGAGTATGGAAGGTTGAGATATAGAAAAAATTGAAACGCGGAATTGGAGTAATAATACTATTTGAAAAAACCTTCCAATTTTTTATACATGAGGCTGGCTTCTAAGCAGTTTTTGACATTTCTCTCTTCCAGGTGCCATGAAGACACCACCACAGGAGCTGCCGGCTGTGGTTTTGGCCCACCGTCATTGCCTTTCTTCTACAAAGGCCCAGAATTATTGTACTATAGAAATAAGTTATGTGTTACTATCTCAAGGTAAGTAAAGTCCATGTTTTTATGCTGCTTTACGCATGAAGATGGATTTGTAGGGGCGCTGGAAAACCGCATAAGCATTGTATTTGCAATACAAATATGTGTAACGGTTTGGTAAAGCCATTGGGACGATATCAAGTCTCAATGTCCAGAGATTCAGCACTTCGATCAAGATCATTAGCTCTGAGGTACTACTGCCTATTACTCTATTTCATTTTCCTAAAAATCATTTTTCCATTTTCAGCGCTCCAGATCCTACGATACCTCTACGAACATGTGTGAATTGTGAAATAAATTCACATGATGGCACATCTGTCACCTCGTCTTGTAAGCAAAACAGATGTTATGGTAAGTGATCACGCACTTCAAAAGCTTTCAAGATAGTAACAACAAAGTTGGACAACTCAGTTAAAGAGGGGGGGGGGTGTTAAAAAAAGAGATATGAGACTTTGTAGAAAAAGTGATCAATTTCGGCGATCTCTGTCTCGTTTATCTGTTTATTTGTGAAATACTTAGAAAAAAATCAGTTGTGCGGTAGTAACCTAATCTAAAATAGGAAATTTCTATTTATGCAAACTACTTTGTTTATTTATTTGCTTATCTATCTGACCAATTAACATCTTGAACAAAGGAGAAAACAAGAAGTTCAAGTAAACAAAGAATGTTAGTCAGGTTTAGATTTGATGTTGATAAAAATTTTTAAAATGCGCTAAGGCATTGTTCGAGCGCAGATGGCCTAAAAAATTTGAAGTTTTGGAAGGTAAATTTGTAGACTGTGGAACCTACACTAGGCTGTTCTGTATAGTTTGGATATAAGCTTACCTTTAGCAACCTCTTTCTAACAGAAGTCGTGAGTCCATGGTCCGAATCAATTCACATATTATTTGCAGGGCATTTCTGTACCTACGCCTCCCAACGGCATTTGAGTCATGGGATGGGACGATCCGGGACTGTACAACTTGTAAGCGAAAAACAAGGTTGTATCAATGTGACCGACAGCTCACAGGTGAGATATGTAAGCTTCGAGTACAAATTCAGAAACTTCCCGTTTTCTCACTATGAGATTTTACTGTTACAAGTAAGTTCCATGAAGATTTTTCCCAAAGGGGGGGAGGAAGGAATAGCGACGGCATTTTTTAAAAGAGAGGCGTTTCCCAAAAAGGGGATGCTTCCAACTTTTGAATGAGCCTGTAACCCCAAAATTTCCGAGAAAGGGGACTCGAGCAATCACACCGAAAAACTTCCGAAGTTAATGTGGATTTTCGAAAAATCACACAATTTCGAGATACAGTAAACTCAAAAATTTCAAAAATGGAAAGGATATCAAACCTCTGTGGCACCTAGGCAATAAATACTACTCTTCATTTGTTTAGCTTGAAAACAATATTATATGTAATTTTGTGAAAAAAATTTGCGAGCTATTTTGAACCAACATTTCGCTTTCAGATACAAATTGGCTGCTCAAGAAAATGGATGCACAACGAATATGAAGAAGTATTGTGTGCCTGTGAGACGGACAACTGCAACAGAGACGAAACTACGGCATCGACGCGAACTTCCCGCGTTGTCCTCATCATTCTTATTCCCATAATCACCTATAACTTATTCGATATCCGGATATCCTAATACAGCACATAGACACGGTGAATACCCAAAGATATTGCTTGAGTGATAGCATCCAGCAAATTGTCTTGCCTTATTCAGTGACCTCGTTATCAACTTTCTCTTGCAATGTTCTGATTCTTTCATTTGTGAATGATTCTATTTGCAATCTCATTGCTATTTTTCATTTGTACGGCATATCTCACTTTCACTGGTAACCGTCTTGTCTTTTGTAATAAATAAAAAAATCATTTTGTGGACTTAGCCCTTCTGAACCATCGAGCGTCCTTCCGCGCAAGAAATGCGTTGCAATCTTTACCTTCATAACTTCGACTGTTTTAAAGCAAATTTTGGTGTATGGTATTCAATACAGGTTCTCTGCAGGAAGAGCGTTGTGCCTAAGAATAAATGAACATTTGAATGAAATGCGAAAATCGCGAGTGTCTCCGGCTTTAAAGGCACCGTCCACCCACATTCTCGACTTCCAGATTTTTGTCGTTTCGGGCCTTTCTCATGCCCCTGATTCCAAATATGAAGTCAAGAATCCGCGAGAATCCCGAAAATCCCCATTATGGAGAACCCACAAACCGGCTTTCCAGTGGCCGTCTTCATCAACGAACCCTGAGGGTTAAACTAACTCTGTGGCCGTATTCATCAACGAAACCCGTGGGTTCCGGAACCCACTGGGTTAGTGCTTTTGATGAATATCGATTCTTCCCTGGAGTAGAGTCGATATTCATTAAAAGCACTAACTCAGTGGGTTCCGGAACCCACGGGTTTCGTTGATGAATACGGCCACTGGAGGGTTAGTTTAACCCTGGAAAGCGACTAATCCGTATTCTGAAACACAGGGTAGGCTTAACCCTGAGGGTTAATCTTACCGCGAAAGCGATTAACCCGTATTCATCAACGAATCCTGAGGGTTAAACTAACCCTGGAGGGTAAAACTTACGTGATTCATCGGGGTTAATTTAACCCTAGCTTAGAGCAAGGTTAACTCTACCCTAACACTTCATGCAAACATTTACTCGCATGTAGCAATTTTATGGACGATCAACGAGTATTGTAGTATTTAGTATTAGTTGCTGTTATAATATTTAGTTTTGACTTCGTTATATGTTCAAATTCGAAGTACATGAAACACTGACTTCGCGAGAAAGAGAATTCTAGCCTTGGTGACAAATGAATGCGACGAGGAAAAATGGTTGCGCATTCCAGTCTGACAAGTGCCAAAACAGAAGAACCCCTTTATGATAACACGCAGTGACCCCTAAAAGGGTAGCACAAGCCCGGTATAAAACGTGCGCAAAAGTAGAACTTACACGGCACAATTGCACACATGAAAATAAACTCACGCTGTAGGATTGAATGCTGCACAAATATGCTAGAGATGTATTATAAAAACTAGTGTTATTTATTTATTTATTTATTGATGCACTGTTGTGCACAGTGCGCCAGTACAAAGACACGAATGCAACGACAGACAAAGATAGTAATGAAACGAAATTGTGACATGCTCAACACCCTAGAGAAATTGTGGAGAGTAATTCGTAGTTAGAGGCTTATTCGTTGATTATACTACTATAACAGTGAAAGAGTAGAGGTATAAAGTGAATTCAGCACGTACTTAGGCATTCTGTGATGTGAGTTTGTACAGCGCACGCGTAACTGATGCCTTAACCCTCCAGGGTTAGTTTAACCCTTAGGGTTCGTTGATGCGGCCACAGGTTCGCTGATCAATACGGGTGAATTGCGTTCCGTCGTAAACCGTACCCTATGCTTGATGAGTACGGCCAATGAACCCTGAGAGTTAAACTAACCTTGGAGGTACGGCCACAGAACAGTCATTGGATGAGCGCGCACAAATGGGCGGGCGTGGATGGGGAGGGACGGGCATGGATGGGGGTCCTCGTGCATCTTCGCTATTCCGAAGCGATTTTCTCGCTTCCAAAGCGGCATTTTGCGCCGCGACTTGGGCATTGGCTTGATAGGAGGCCCTACCGTTATGTGCTGCCAAAAGCTCAACACCCTCTAGGGTGGACGGTGCCTTTAAGCGCTCATCGCAAACTGTGCCACCAGGATGTAGAGCTTGAAGTCAACATTGCTGTTCTTTCCAAGAAAATGAATACTGCGGCACGTAAAGCCATGAATGCTTGCTGGATTTCATGCAGATGCCCTAAGCTGAACAGGAAAGGAGAAAGAGTGGCTGTCAACAATAAGCTTGCCGCTTTCTTACAAATGTGTGTTGAGTCTGACATAAAAAGAAAGCTCATTCTACACAGTAAACGGCGAGTCGTGGTCTGACACTTGCCATAGTAGTGGACGTACGCTATACAGTACGTTGAGGGTGTGTCTACCATTGGAGTAATTATTACGCGCACTGACTCGCTTTCCAGGTGACAAAGGCGATCTCTGGCGAAACGTACACCGTACTGATTGTTGACTGTACTGACAATGAAGGAACTACCAATTTTGAAAGCTCAACATCATATGACATAACAAAATCATAGTTTCTTGTTTGCAGAATCAAAATATGGAGGTGTTGGAAAATCATGTTTCAACTTGACGAAAAAGGCGCTTGAAGAGGAAGCACGTTTAACAAATTTCGGTATTGTTGGATTATGCGAGATGCGTCAAAACGGCGCTATTTATTTTCAACGCAGCTCTTCGAGACTACATCTATATCTATGCAACAGCGGTGGACAAATTATGATAGAAACAACTAGAAGGGGACTGGGGTAGATAGACAATGAACATCCATAAGTAGTGCGCGGGTGTAACCTTCCTCTCTGACCGCCTGATTCAAATCTGTTTTTCTCTTGTATGGCAAAGTATGCGTGTCACTACGGCGTACGCGCTTTGGCGGGACAATTTTGATAAAAAGGTCGCCACAACCTTGATAATTGAACAACACCAACCATCACACGAACGACATACGTTTATTGCCAATTACCTCAAACTTGGGTGATCAAACCCTCACTCTGCTTGACATATATACATAAATAGCGGAGCAAATCAACAGAAAGAGGGACAAAATTGCTAGCAAACAGTTGGAACTATGATGATGATAAGCCAAACCAAAAAGATGTTTTGGATATCTTGTGGAATTTGGACTACTTGTAAGAAATGTACAAAAGGAGACTAAAAAACTTATGATAGGAATGCTTTCAAAGTGCTTTCCCTGGGAATGAGCGAATAGAAAGGCAACACAGGCAACAAGTTCAAGTGAAAAATGCATGAGTAGCAATGACTAAGTATATATAGACGTTCGCTTGCTGGCACCATCATTCTGCAGCTCCAATCGTTTTTGTCTATAGTCCGAGATCCTTTTGTCAAGTGGAATATATGTGGCATCGTAGATTCATTCCTTGGCATTCCACAACTAGCTTTTTTATTTAGCAAGCATTCAAAACATTGGTTGATGGCAATGCGATCCGCGAAACGAACGTCTCATCTGGTATTGAGGGGTCATCTGTGCAACTCTCATGCATGATTTTGCTCAATTGCATCGCCATCCGCGATATATGACAAGTTCACGGAAAAACTTCAAAACGCATTTTCTCAACAGCATGCTTACGACATTCCCACTGGTGATTTTGACGCATGAACTGGTAGTGCGTCGTGAACAGAGATTGTAGTCGACAATTGCTTTGGAATACAAAACAGCACAGGGCAGGCAATGACTGAATTTGCAAATAACTACGTAATGAACTCGTTTCTTCACAACCTAAGGAACGAGGATAGACTTGGCCTATCGAATGGACGAGGTTCGAGAAAGTAGATTATGTATTGACCGACAGCGTAAAGTAGTAGTAGTCAATGCTGTGCTCGAAGATTCAGCCGGAGGTGACCACCTACTCTCGAGCTAATGTGAACGTCCTCATCGTTCACTTAAAGCCGTCCTTATCAACTACCTCCTAAACACCGTGAGGTCAAAAGCAGCTACGTTTGATGACTCTTGCATTGCCAAGGTTCTTCGCGAATTCGATACTAGATGACCCGGTGAATGCTTGGCAATTATGCGTATCTGACCAGGACTGCTGCTCACGTCGATTTTCGCCTGAAATAGAGGAGATTTTCCATAGAAGCCGCTCCCTTTTCTACCTCAAACTTGATCTGAGATAAAGTACGAAGCAAGTGACCAACTTTCCCGGGTTGAATACGCAAATGAGCGGGAAGCTGCCCAATGGTCAATGAGGACAATATAGTAAGTTACAACTCAGTTTAAACTGAAATTGGACTGGCGGAAGTCCCCTCCGCAACGCTTCGCGCCGCTTTGCAGTCTGCATCTCTTCGTACTACTCCATCTCGCTGAATCAGTGGCGGCGCGGACGCGCTGTTCCACTTGGAATGTTTCGCCTACTCCGGGTTAAGAAAGACTGTAATGGAAAGAATCATTCAGTGCAATTAGAGTGCAGTCGTATCGAACTCTTACGAGTTATGTGTCACTTACGCCGACAAGATGGGACCGTGCCCTTCCACCAAAGCTAAAACTTTCAAGTGGCTACTCGCTAAAGTAATACATCCCACGAAAATCCCCCGCTCCCAAATTTTCCAACCTATGACCCAGCCTTACCCCGACAAACTAAGAAAAGCACAAATTCGTGTTAACACTAAGGAATTGATGGCATTCGCTCGAAAGCTGCTAAGTGTGGGTAGAATGGTTCGCCCTGAACTAGCAAGCATTATCTACCAACTGACTTGACATTGTTTATGTTGATCTCTCGAAAGCGTTTGATAAGGTCTGTCATGCTAAATTACTAACTAAAATGAACAAATTAGGGATTAAAGGAAATCTTCTTTCGTGGTTGACTTCTTATTTGCATGATCGGTATATGACTGTGAGAGTTGGTCATCGTTACTCCAAAAAGTACTTCTGCACTAGTGGTGTTCCACAGGGTGGTGTCTTAGCCCCCTTGCTTTTCCTGATTTACACCCTTGACCTACCTTCTACTTTGAAGACTTCCGCTAGCGTACACATCCGGATGTATGCTGATGACATAAAGATTTTTGCAGTCTATGATCCGGAAGTAGCTCCAGAGATTCAAATGGACTTGCAAAGGTCTCTTGATAATTTGACCAATTGGTGTGAGGTCTGGGAATTAGCGTTAAATTTTGACAAATGCTCAGTGCTTCATCTTGGAGGTGGAAATACTACCTCTTATCACATCAAAGGCTCTATATTGAAGAGTTGTGATACTGTTAGAGATTTGGGTGTCGTGATTGATTCAAATCTTAACTTCACTGAGCATATCAATACGTTAGTCAAAAAAGCTTATTCTTCACTCTTTCTGCTTTTTCGCAATACTAATGCTAGTTCTCCGAAGATACTTATACCGCTTTATAAAGCATTAGTTCTTCCTCATTTAGAATACTGTTCTCAGGTCTGGTCCCCCTTTCGTAAAAAGGATATTCGCAGAATTGAAAAGGTTCAACAGCTTTTCACACGACTGTTGTATAGACGTTTATCGCCCGGAACCACCCCTCCCGATTACCAGACCCGGCTTGAGAGGTTTCACATGAAATCCTTAACAAACCGTCGTGCTTTCTTGGATCTTGTATTCTGTTTTCAAGTTCTGAGAAGAGAGAACAAGCTAAAAGCCAGTAAATACTGGATTTTTGTTCCTACAAGCGAAAGGTCAGGCTCTTTTAACTTGCAATATCCAAGAATCCGGCGCAAGAGATACTTGCTGATGTTCAACAACGTCTTCTACAGGTCGGCTAGGTGGCTTTCGCACCTCCCGGTTGAGACCACTAGTGCAGAGAGTAGTCATATTTTCGGGAGTAGACTGAGAAGGCTTGACTTGTCAGGTATGGCTAACACTGATTAGTGTTGCATGACAGGGCGAGCCTTCTGCATTAGACCTTTTGGGCTTCCATTGGGTGCTTTGGACGTGCTATGATGGCGGATGGAATCGCTTTGGGCTTTGTTTTCTATCACCTTTCTTCTCCATTTTACCTCTAAAACCTGTCTTTTCAGGTGCTCGGTGATCTTGCATTGACTTGCGGGTTCAGTTGTGGCTGTAAATTATCTCTTTGACGCCTCTCGTGTATCTCCTCACGTTGCGTCAAACTTTTATTTTTGGTGTACTCGTTTTGTTCTAGTTACTAACACAGTTTCATCAGCATCTCAGTCCGAGTCTTTTTCGTTCAGCTATCTAGTAGTCAATCGTACAGCTTGCTATTTCGACAAATGGATTCAATGAGAATCGTTTCACCTTTGGGGTCATTGGGCCTCCCCAGCATTCCGGCTAGGTTGGGTTATGGTTATTATACCTGAGCCAGTAGACCTGCCTTATAAGCCGCCGGATTGCTTTTAAGAGTAACTAAAGATCGTTCCGCTGGCAACGAGGGGGCATGCGTCCCATCTCCATGGATTCAAGGTTTTGGAGTTATAAATCTTATGCCTGCATCTGCATACTTATTTATTAGCCTACCAACATATTCAGTGCAGGCTGTTTTATCTTCTCACATTAGTCTGATTAGGATCAGACTCGGACTGACATGATGATGTCTGCATTTGTTTACATGTCTTGTTCGTTTCTGCTGTATTACTAACTTCTTGATGTGTCTTTTTTTTTATGGAACGCCTTGAGCGTACAAATGAAATGAAATGAAATGAAATGAAACTGCTTGAGGACAACCGTATCAACCGCATGCCTCGATCAAACTCCTCTACAAAAAAGACGATTGCTACGATATCAAGAACTTTCTTCCAATTTCCCTGTTACTCACAATTTAGAAAGTCCGACAAGAGCTTCAGCAAATCGAGTCGAAGAAAAAGTTGGCAAATGCCTACCAGAGCAAGCTGCATTTCGGCGAGCTCTCTCAACCGCTGATCATCTACAAGCAATAAGTAGGTAACTGAGAAGCAAGATCAGCAGTTACCATTCCCTTTCTCATGTAAGTGGCAAATAAGCATCAAAATTTAGTTTATGCAAATTTGAAGCTTTCATATCACAAACATGGAACAAAAACTATCAGTATACATATGTAGACTCTCATATCATAAGTGAAATGAACGCTATACAAACTGAACATCGAAGATAAGATGGACCAGAGCATCTCTTTTCCGGGACCAATCCCGTCGAAAAAAGCGCAAAGATGGATGATGGAAAAGAAAAGTCACATTGGTTAATTCTCTACAGTGGAAAATCATCACAATTGGCGCGGCAAGATATGTGCCGCGAGGCACTTTGAGATTTGCAAAGCATTGCCCATTCAGATGAACATATCATGGTCAACTTGAGAAATAACACCCATAACCGGAAAAGAGAAAAATCAAGCTGATAGACTTTATGAAAACTTATGATTCAAAGACCAGATTGATGGGGAGGATGCTTGCTAGCCAAAGTGGGCGTGGGACGTTTTGCACGGGCGCAATTCTTCCAGAAGTCTTTCGAAACCTCAATGGCGCTGATCCCTGCTGTGGTTGTCTTCTAGGCAAACAAAAGAGGGAAGAGGACTTGCTTACGAACGCGACAAATTGGTAGACCACGCGAAATAGGTGATGTATCGTGCAAAACGGCCGACTGCCCCTCGAAAACAGATTAGAATGAAACGCAAGCAACATCGAAGGTACCAAGAAAGTACGACGGGATTATCAACTCGGATTTCATAGTATGTTATAAAATCTTATAAGGTATGAAAAGTGTTATAATAAGCAATAATAATCAGAAAATGGAAGATGGGTGACCTGTGCGACAAAAAGTAGTTTGATTCGGTTCTCCAGAAAAGTCACAGCAGACCTAAAAGTAAACATTTGTATCCAAAGTCACAATCTTGTGACTACAAGTATATCATAGAATTTCACGTCGAAAGGTGCTTTACAGCCTTAGCCGAAAGAAAGAGAGAAAAATGGCAAAATAGAGGTAACTTTTCGCACACTTTTAAATTATATGCACAAAGCAGGTATTCAGCAGAAACAACCACAAATGAATGTAAGGCTTGAGAGAAGGAGAACTCAGGCTGTTGATTTAAGAGATGTATTTGATCAAATCTTTGGGTTCCATATTTCAGCTTATCTGTATGATTGATAAAAAGAATGAAGCAGTGAATAAATCAAAAGACCCCATCCACAAAAGGCTTTTTTAGTAGAAAATCTGAGAAGAAAAGCGAGAACACGATATTACCTCACATATCCATGTAAACCACCAGATCAGTCTTGTGTTGCACCTGTATGCCTTGGTTGACAGCCTCGTGTACGCTGAATAACATTGTTAGGTCGCGTTTCGACAGATGTACAAACTACTGAAAACCTACTCGGCTGTTATACGACGCAATTCCGCGGCAGTCTCTTGTGAAGGACCTGGCCTTCCCAGCCAATCTGCCACTTTATTGCCGCAGTCTTCAAGAAGTCGTTTGTTGTGACGACCTTCAATTACACCACGATAAATCTCCATTATATCAGATATATCAAAATAAGCCTACTCGGACTGCGAGGGGCTCCATTTAATCCTCGTGATACGTTGTGGTCGTGCGTACGAATGGCCTCTTCATACTGAAGAGCGCGTGCGAGATATTCTGATGTATTCAAAGTGATCCCGTCTAGGTGAGAGACGTCGATGATGTTCTGCAATTATAAATGCTACTGCTAGTACGCAACATAGACCACCACTCCAAAACTGCATTGATGCATTAACCCGCTACTCAGATTCATTTCAATGCAGGCTGACCGATAAGCGTTCAAATAAATCGATAAACCATTCAAATGGTATTAAAACCCTTCGTTTTGTATTGCTTTGTTTCCTACTGACAAACTCTGCACTATTACAGGCAGCGTCCAGGCAAGTCTGGACACATGGAGATTTCACGTGGATAGTAATTTTGGGGCCCTAACTAAGCCACTGCCCAAGCGGCAGCTCAGGTAGTGCTCTAACGGCTGAGATATTCCCATCGAAACTGGACCCCGCGACCGTATTTCGCATGGATTCATGGCGCAAAGCATGGATCCTGGCGCGAAACTGCCATGAATCCATGCGCATACGATCGCAGGGTACAGTTTCGAGGGGAATATCTCACAAGGAAACGATACTCGGTGTCCGTGGCCTTTTGAGATGAGTTGTATACCATTACACTCGTCTTGGAACGCTGACTCCGAATCTGACTTCCGTTTCTGCTAATCGATTAAAAGATATTATAGAAGATTGTGCGGGCTTTGGCTTCCCGCTGAAATATGTTCGGAGCGTCAAGGGTAACAGTGCAGTGTGGTCTATTGGTTAGTGCGATAGGCTGATGAGTTGATGCAGGTGTAGGTTCGAATCTTTCCTCGTTTTTTCAGTTTTGCATTGCCTCAATAAACCTTCTTTCGCATCTTCCAGCTAACTGACCGCCCTTACTCTTCAAAAAATTTGGAACTTTGGAAAAAATGATTACTATTTGCGCTAAAATGTATCCATCATACTTCGAGGAAACTTCGAATAAGTTTAATTGAGGCAGTGCAAAATAAAAACACAAAAGATTTGAACCTACATCTGCATCAAGTTGTGAGGCTATTAGACTAACCACTAGACAATAACGTGGCGCCGGTAGAGGCCGTTCCGGTGACCATACCCTTGGGCGGCCAAAGTTGGCTCGAAATTCCTCCATAACTTCTTTCAGAGAAACGATTAGCAGAAACGGAAGTCAGGTTCGGGATCAGCGTTTGAAGAAAAGTGTAATGACATACATCTCGTCTCAAAATGCCACGGACATTGAGTATCGTTCCCTTGTCAGCCGTGAGAGCACTACCTGCGCTGCCGCTTGGGCAGTATCTTAGTTAGGGCTCCAAAAGCACTTTCCACGTAAAATCTCCATAGGTCCAGATCTGCCTGGACACTGCCTTTATGAGAACACATTGGCGGGTAAACGTGGGCAGCCGATTTTACACAGCTTATAGAGGATCTTTCATTAACCGCATTTGAATTTTTGTACCGAGCCACGCACTACGGCTGAAGAGATCGAATCAAGACAAGAGTTGTTCTGCCAGATGCCTGATCCAGTTGCGAACTTCATACATTCGAGGTGCACGAACGTTCCGAAAGCGAAAGAGTTTATGTCATTGTGATGAGTTTTCATTCGTCGCAAGGAAATTTCTAATCACTGTCTCTGTCAAATGAAGCATTCTTGGCATAGCATCTGGCATAAGCAAATGCGGTATGAGACAGTGGATGACTCTGTTCTCATGGCAGTGTCTCAGCTCGTGCGTTGCGTTCCGCGCCACCGCCTCGCTCAACTTTGCGCCGCTTCGCAAACATATCTTCGGGGCGTTTTTCCTGGCGCGCCAGCCTTAAATCGCTAATCAGGCGTAAAGAAAAGCCCATAGGACACTTTAGCAAATGCTATGCAAGGCCAAGCAAGGCGGCCGCGCGAGACCCTAGCTGCACAAACCTGCGACGCCATCATTGAGGTAAAAAAGGAAGAAACAAAAACGTACATTTCCAGAAAAACATATAAACTTCACGTACAAATTCAGCCCTATTCTATGATTTTGTGATAATCTATGAAGTGTGCCTTCCACTACCTTATCTTTGCAATGAGATTTGGATTTAATCATGCAGATTTGAACAAAAAGCTTATCTAGTCAACTTACATGCTGTGTGTTTTCCAAAATCCTATTCAAAGCTTCTTCCTCTTGTTCCTCTTTAGTTTTGTGATGTTTTTGAGATGCATCTCTTCCTGCACTATCAGTCTGGTCTACTCCACGACTAAAGCGTACTTTTGAGATAAGAAGAAACGGTCAAAGAAAGATAAGACAAAAATGTGCAGAACCACAAAAAATTACGAAGATACAACACTGATAATGAGCAAAGGACCAGTAGAATAAGATATTTTCGGTAAATTGAGGGATCTTTATACATTTATAAAACTAGTATTAGCAACAAAAAGCTCGACTTATTTTTGAGGTTCATGTAAAAAACAGCCTCTAAGCTACAAATTCCTGCAAGTTCACTCGGCTTTACATTGCTGATGATCGTTGCAAGCGTCAGTGTTGCCCCTGTTTCTCGCGAGCGCTGGTAGGTCGGTACGATAAGTCATGTAAATTCAGTTTTTCTCAGTTAGAAAAAGTAAACACATTGCCCAGTGGTAGCTTTGCAAGAAACAGACACTACTCTGAATAATGACATTCCAATACTGGATAACGGGGCAAAGTGCAGTCTCCTTCTGTCAGAATATTGCCAGCGCGTTACAATTAGGCGGCACATGCTAGAATCAAACGTTGGCATAGATCGTCCCTGAGACTACGTTATAGCTCCAGTTGCCGGCGTCCTCGGCGGGCAGCCTCGCACTACCTTGCGCTGCGTTCGCAAATACAATCATGTCAGTTGTGACTTTTCCAGCTTCAAATCGCTGTCCAGCATGAGTGAGTGCTCTTCAGGCTCCCGCCAGAGTGCCGAAGCCACGCCAGCGCTACGCCGGCGCCGAGCTTCCCGGCGCTGTTTCGATCAATACACGTGCATTTCGCTCAGGGCGGGGCTAGCAGTTCTCGGTCAGGTAAAAAATGCGCGGACTATTAATTAAAATCTCCGTCAAAAGCTCCGGTAGCGCTTTGCCGGCACAAGGTCAGCTAGCCCCGCCCCAAATGAAATGCAAGCGTGTCGATCAAACAGCACCAGAACAGCTTGGCACTAGCTCGGAGCTGGCTCGGCGCTGTCGCAGCGCTGGCATGGCTTCGGCACTTTAGAGGGAGCCTCAGACACATCCGCTAATGCGGCGCAAGGAGCGAGGTGACCGCTATAGAGTCGCTGGAGCTTGGCATTGTCGTAAAGATCGTCCAAATTCTGGAAAAGTGGCACACTAATATGGCAACAATGCTGGCAGACAGTGGCGTACCCAGGATTTCGGCTCGGGGGGGGGCGCGGCAAAAAAAAATTTTAAATGAAGGTGCGTGGCGTTAGCCACGCACTCCGAAAAAATTTTAGGGGGGCTTCTCAACAATTCTGCGACCAAAACAGCAACTCCGCGCCGAAAATGTGAACTCTGCAAGCCAGGGGGCGGCCCAAGCGCCGCTCCCCTTCCTCCTTTGTTAGGTAGGTGCCAGAGTAAGCGAATATTTTGTTCAGGTTGGGTCTCGCGCAGAATTGACGTCACTTGGATTGACGCCAGCATGGTGAGTGACGTCCCTTCTGCCCGGGACCCCAACCTGAACAAAATATTCGCTTACTCTGGCACCTACTTTGTTAGGTGCCAGAGTAAGGTAGGTGCCAGAGTAAGCGAATGTTTTGTTCAGGTTGGGGTGCGGCGCAGATTTGACGTCAATTTTGATTTCACACCATGCTGGCGTCAATCCAACTGACGTCAATTCTGCGCGGGACCCCAACCTGAACAAAATATTCGCTTACTCTGGCACCTACCTAAGCGAATATTTTGTTCAGGTTGGGGTCCCGCGCAGAATTGACGCCTCTCACCATGCTGGCGTCAATCCAAGTGACGCGTCAATTCTGCGTACCCAACCTGAACAAAATGTTCGCTTACTCTGGCACCTACCTTTCGCTCCCCTAACACCTTGTTCGGACGAGTATTCTTCGCTAGACGGCGCGGGACCCCCCCCCAATCGCTTTCCCGCATTGTGCATGCTATACAAAGCCAAAATTACAGGACCTTTTCACCCCTTTTAAAGCTCAGATTCGGAATCTACGGGTCGAGAAGGCCCAAAACCTGCAAAAAGATGGAAATGCAAAATCTGCCGAGACGTGCCTTTAAGCCGTACAAGATCACTAAGCAACTAAAAACTTAACGATTTCGTTATCTATGAAAACTCAGCCACGACAGATGCTTTGAACAAATGATTTCGGACGAAACCATTTGTCGCTCTCAATGTGGAAAGATCTTTGAAAGGAAAAACCATAAACACCATAAGAACTATTAAACAAAAAGGCATTAGAAGTGAAAATTAATCCAATTTGAAATAGAGAAAAAATGAAAACTACCTATTTAAATCATGGCCTCGGACAGGTGTGACAGCTGAATCATCATAGAATCTTTCGTAAGGAGCACCACCATCATCTTCACCATCACAGCAACAGATCTTCTTTAATACATCCATCTCGCTCTACCTGGAAATTGTGAAGGCATGAACTGACATATCGTAACATGCATTCAATAAAGTAAACATAATTCAACCCAATTAAAAAAGGACAAAAGCATGAATACGCCCTGAAAGCAAGCGAGCACTTTAGCGGTTTTAGGCGTAAGCAAAAACTCTTCCGCAATTACACACCAAAAATTACGCTTGAAATTCAAACGCAGCAAGAATTTGATAGCTTCCATTAGGTGGTCAGTGCTTAGGTCTTGGGCAGCGATTTCATCGTAGCGATTCATCGCGACAAGACAATTGTCACGAATTCATTGCATGCCGATGTTCTTGTATTTCAGCTGTGTTAATTTTTCCAACACACCAGTAGTGACTAACTATCACAACCGAAATGCAAGGTGATCGGAATGCAGTGGACTCGTAACTGTTTGTCTTGTTGGAAGAATCGCGGCGATGAAATCGCGTGAACTCTGCCCGAGGCCCTGCAGGCGTTGTTGACTTCGTAGAGAATGGACCTAGACAATACTGAGTTCATAATCATGCGAATTTGTCATGCACGAAATGCATTACTACCTCTCCATGATGCCGCAAAAAGCTAAGTTTGTCAGGATCCGTAGGGCAGGGTTTTGACTGGCATGGTCATCCCATTGACAGACGTGCTTTTTTGATTTTGTTAGATCCTCTCATATATGCAAGTCCATCAATTGCCACTCTCTTCGCTGCCAAAACAACAGCTGAAAGCATCTTTAGGTCTCGGATAGAGTGTCGCGATTCAATCGCTATAAGACTAGTGTTATAGGGGCCTGCAGGATCGCGAGAGTCGGACGTGCGTACGGCCATTGCGCCGCGCACGTCAGATGCGCATCCGACGACTCAGGTAGGTGCCAGACTTACCCTGTTCAACAGATTCATTCGGTGCACCAACTTTTCTGTCGGACAGTATAGTGATTTGACCTATGAACCGAACAAACCGGTTGAAGCGGATAGATCTAGCACCTGCCTTAGCGACATCAGACGTGCGCGGCGCAATGGCCGTACGCACGTCCGACTCTCGCGATCCTGCAGGCCCCTATACGAGTTCATTGCATGCCGATCTTCTTGTATTTCGGTTGTGATAGTATGTCACAATTAGTCGTGTCGGAAATATCACAACCGAAATGCAAGAAGATCGGCATGCAATGACATCGTTATGTTGTCTTCTCGCAATCAATCGCGACGATCAAATCGCGTGAACTTTGCCCGAGGCCTCCTCAGACTTACTTACGTATCATATTCATTTACGCATCGCATGGCAGTCCGTCGCACTCTGTGATTCCCCTTTCTGCTTCTATTTCCATTCGCCGCACTCTATGACCATTGCATAGGAGACTTAAGTTCATTTGGATTTTTATTTGACATGATCTCTCTTTCTTCCTCCATGCGGTACTTAAGGTGATGAGCAGCTGTAGGAATTTGTTTTGACCTGATCCTTTTCAACATTTTTGGGTTTTTTTTGCACATCAGAGTCTCCAAAAGCCAATAATCCGTTCTGCGCCGCGGATTGCTTTTTGAGTACCAGTGAACAGGAGCTTGCCATGACTGCGAGGACAGGTATACTTTGGTCGTCTAGGAGGTTCGAAAGCGAAGTTTTTGGTGAGGCAACTGCAGACCAAGCAGATCGTAGTTTTTTTGACAATCTTGAAAAATCCAACACAGGACTGTAGAAGCTGGAATATTGTGGGAGGCAAGGTTACGTAGAAGCATTTATGCCACAAAAGGGCTATTGTTTTTACTGTTTTACTCATAACACATCGTCAGGAATGTTTATTGCAGGACTAAGTATTCACATAATTTCCATTGACAGGCATTTCTCCCGCTTACTGCAAGTTGATCAATGGCTATGGCTCGATACGTTCAAAAACAAACAATAATCATCCGAACGCTCCCGCTGTAGGAGTTCGAACAAACAACAAAATATAAATAAGTAAACAATGAAGTGGTATCAATAACGAAATTATATGTCCTTGGGCACAGCGTAACGTGGAGTTGGAGAAGTTGTAGTGGGTAATCGGCGGTTGTCGATAGTTGGTTGGCGAAATGAGGCGGTTGGCGTGAGTAGTTAGCGGAAGTCGTGGGATTTAGGAGTTGAATAGTAGGCGAGTAGGAATAGAAGAATGTCGCCAGCCAAAATGTGTCGCTATTAGGGCAACTGTAATACTGGGAGCTCACAACACGTCGCTAGAAACGTTTATTGCAAGATCACATATTCCAGTTCTGTAGAATGAAGGCCCAGTAATTTGGCCGATGCACCAGAATTGTGCCACTATTAGGGCAACCATGACACTGGGAGCTCACAACACGTCGCTAAGAACGTTTATTGGGAGACTTTATATGTGCCACTATAGGGCAACTATAACTGGGAGATAACACAACACATCGCTATGAACGTTTATTGTGACACTGGGGAAGCTTACAACAGAAGAGCCCCGTTGACCCCCGAACCCGCCCGCTTTACTGCGGGATGATTAATGTATAGGTCGGTTCGGCCACAATACGTAGCAAATGGCCGAACATAATAATAGGAATAGTAGAGAGTTGGCAGCGGGAATGTGCCACTATTAGGGCAACTTTGACTCTGGGAGCAAACACAACACGTCGCTATCAATGTTTATTGTGACACTGGCGTGTGGTAGGAATAGTAGAGACTTGGCAGCGGAAATATGCCACTATTAGGCGTAACACTGAGAGCTCACAACATGTCGGTAGGGATATCTATTGTGAGACTGCATATTCCTAAGTCTGTTCGGGTACGTTGACCCGTAAGCGCCTGCTTTACTGCAGGTTGATTTATGGCACAGCTGCTTCGTCGGTCACCATAAAACAGCTGGCCGAGCAGACCCATCGGATTCCGCAAAAACTGGTTCATATATACTGTCTAGGTAATTTTCAGATATAGATGAAAAGCTTTTTTGTAATTCATTCTGTGGCTGAGAGACTCGAAACCGCCTTGAACACATTGTCTAAACAAGCTTGAACTTGTTTCCTCCTGTTTCTGAGCAGCAATTACTCCTAGACTCGATAGATTACAAGTATGAACTTGTTGTCTTCAAGATCAAGCTTGTTTTGACGATGTGTGCAAAGCGGATTCGAGTCTTAGCCACTGAATGAATGATTTTTCAGCCCGCTAAATGCCGAATTTGATTTCCAGACGTAACGAGTGTTCGTGATTGCAGCCAGGAGTTTACGCCTAAAATTTGCACATCGCTCCGGAGACGCATTTTTTCTGGTTGTTTTTAATTTTGTCAACTTTAAGTGACTTAATAGATACAACTAGTCTGTAGCTGCAAGTAAAAGAAGTTGGATCTTATGGGTTATGGAGTATCCACTTGATTTGAAACTGAAGTGAAGTAATTGGAACTTGCATGTGAAGACAGGCAATATATTTGGTGAATATGGTCATGCTTTTTTAATCCCGGCAACACTCCCGCCCTTCTTGTCAATGTTCTTGTTTTGCTTTGTTTGGTGAAGTTTCACTGATTTTGTATTCTATTGCAGACTTTTAGATCTCTGCAGTAATAGATGCGGGTCAAAGATGAAGATAATCTAAAGGTGCTTGCTCTGTTTGCTAAATGTACAGAATGTCGATGCACAGGGTTTCGTCCCATTCTCGACGACGAACAAATGGAAGAGGATGGAGGGCTATTTTTAGTAAGTTGTTTTCAGTACCTTTGATTTGGTTAGTAGGTAATCACTCACAGAAGCTATTGGCGATTCGTGAGGCCTCGAGCAGAGTTCACGCGCTTTCATGGTCGCGATTCCCCAACAAGACAAATAGTCGAATCCATTGCATGTCGATCATCTTGCATTTCGGTTTTGATAGTTAGTCACGATTGGTCGTGTTGGAGGACTATCACAGCTAGAATGCGAGATGATCGGATTGCAGTGGACTCGTAAGGCCCCGGACAGACTTCACGCGACTTAATCGTCGCGATCTAATCGCCAAGATTTCTATTCATTTTCATTTCACATTCAAAAATTTCGGGCTGGAAAAGTATCACAACCGAATGCAAGTTGATCGGCATGGAATGATGTTGTAACAGTTGTCTCGTCGCGACTCAGTCGCGACGATCAAATCGCGTGAAGTCTGCCCGGGGCCTAACGGTTTGTCCTTTTGGGAGAATGCGGCGATGAAATCGTGTAAACTCTGCTCGAGGCTTGAGAGGCAAAGACTGGGCGCCATTGCGTTCGATCAAGATAGTTCGTGCATGGGAGAGACAGCAGATGGTAAGAGAAACAAGATAGCGTTCGATCAGAGGGACGCCGATATGTCCGCAGTCTTTACGTGTACGAATCGCCAGTGCCTTAAATGTAAGGCCTAAGGCATACCTCACGCGTTAGTCAAATCGTTACGTCCAGCGACTTGGCGATTTGCCGATGTTTACAAATCAACCGTGCGCGGATCTAAAATTAATAGGCGCGTAGCTTCCGTAAGTTACAGTGAAAGCTTCAACTCTGGCTCGTACAAAGCGCGCTTACGACCAGTACGCTGCAATGTCAGATCGCGCAGCGACTGGAATCGCTTGAGGTATGCCTTAGGCCTAACGTTTAAAACTTTCGTAGATAATGTCCGGTGCCTGGTCTATCAGATTTCATGGTGATATGAATTTAGCTTTTTTGACTTCTATCGTTTATCTAATATTTTTTCTTCGCATGCGCTTTTTTTTTCTTCTCGACATCTGCGCGTAAAATCACTTCTGTGTCAGGTGGATTTCAAGCTTGTTCGCAATGTCGACACTGATGCGCTTTGTCGAGGATGCAATCATTCTATCGGTAAGTTCTGTAGGTTATAAAATCCTTTGGAATAGTAGCCATATGCGAGTTCTGTTTCATTTTACAGATGCACACGCTGCACATTCCGTTCGACCTTCTAGAGCAGAACAAGAAAAGCTGATACAGTTAGCTAATGACACTCATGACTTGCATAGTCGAATGTCAACTACAGAAGATACGGATGAGTTGCATGTAATGAGCGTTTAGTCGTTTGGCCATCTCAGTTTTTCTTAACCTCTATATTTTCAGATTCTCTACCAAGTTTTTCAACTATTCTTGAGCGCACTGAAAAAATGGAGCACTAACATAGACGTCCCATTTGGTGTACCCAAATTTGAGAGTGTTTCGGCCTACAACATAGTTACAAATTTTGCTGCTGCATCGGAGTCTACGGAGTTCGTCGAGTAAGCATCTTGTTTAATAAAGCGGCGCCATATAGCTCCTGAATTTATTTTAGTTACAGTACCAAGCAAATACAACATAATCTCCACCTATCTTCCAAACTGTTGTCGTTGATGAACACGTGGAAGATACCACCTCCAACAGTCTTTCATGATATGGGTGGGTGGTGTGATTTTAATGGTGGATATTTTTGAAAATGTCTTCGGAGTTTTTGATTTGGATGTTTTAATTGCTTATTGTTAGCATTTTTTAGTACCAAAGGTTGATCGCGTGCAATATCGCCTGTTTTATTCACGATGGATGTACTACGTGATATTACCACAGCAGTTCAAATCGCTGAAACAATACGAGGCGGTCGAGATCTTCGGTCAAAAAGGGCTCCAGCTTTACTTGAAGTTTGTTCTGAATCAGGTGGAGCGCGGCGAGTTCCAGTGTGGAAGTAAATTGGTAGGAGTGCCTTTTTAATGCAGGCGTTGACTACATTTTTGATGTTCTAGACTGCCGCTGACCTTATTCCTTTCATGGCATCCGTTTTGAGCTATATCGAGAATCCAACTAAAACAATTCTGAAACTCAAAGCCGCGCTACCAGTAGGAGTAGATCCTCCAAAGTAAGTTTTTCTGATCGGATATGATATGTGACTGTCATACACCTTTTTTACGTTTTTACAAGGGAGGACCGCGAAGTCAAGGCCGATCACCACAAGCTACATAACATTAATGGGAGGTTGGGGCGCTAATTCCAGATGTTTACCCCATCTGCAGAACACTTCTAGAAAATAAGTTATGGGCTTTTTTTTCTGAAGTCAAATCGAACTAGCTAGGATGAAATCAATCACTACAGCCTCTCTAGAAAGCATATTGTAAGCGCTCGGATACTTCATATTATAAACCCTTCCTCCTACCACATTAGCACTTTCTATTCTCACTTGAATCTAGAAACGCTTCAGCAATTGATGTTCCAGTCATCACTTCATCTTTTACGTGAAGAAGAAAGCTTTAACTTCTTTCCCGGAGTTTGAAAAAAAATTATTCGGAATTAGCGTTTCAAGTTCTCACTTATGCTATCAGCTTGTTATGATCGGGCACTTTGAATTCGTGACCCTTTCTTGCTGAAAATGGTCGTTGAGTTGATTATTGATGCATCTGTTGCTATAGGTACACTCATCACAATGACAGAGAAGTCTCGTGTGAAACACCGCCAGATGATAAAGAAGAGGAGAAATTGCCAAGGAAGCGATCAAAGGTGGGCTTGTATATTTACTTCCAGTCAGTCATCTGGCTGATCCTTTTTCATTTTTATTAGATATTCTACTTTCCCTGAATACATTGACGCCTCAGGGGCTCGCTATGTAAATAGGAAGAACAGTTACGTTGCAACAGTTCGTGTCACTAGATTTTTTGCCCAGTACAATTATTTGGGTTTTTCATAACTCACCGGTATGATATACTTGGACACATCTACATAATTTAGGCATTTGTATTTTTCAGTCTGGCGAAAAGATTCGGAGAGTATAGGTTGGAGTACATCGTTTAGAATTGCGAAAACTATGTTTTTCAGTCTGAGTCAGTGGTGTCATCAGATTTGTTCGTAAAAACACTCGTGAAGCTGGCAAATGATGTAAGACGCCAAATTCCACTTCTCTTCGCAATCAACATCCATTGCACTTAGGCTCAAGATTTCACCGAGGATCCAATGGATCCTTTAGACGCAATAAATCTGGACGTATGCCGTGGTGAAGCAGCACGAATGGAGGAGAAGAAAGGAATTATTGAGTAAGTCGAAATAACGAAGTCTTCTAATACCATACCAATTTTTGCTATGGATGGACGTTATTCTTCCTCTCTGTTATAAAATACAGGCACGCCGTGTAATATCTCTTTTTTATAGATTCAAAGTTATTGGAAACTCGCTGGAACCCTTCCAAAGTCGCGAAACAATGGTCCATTTGCTGCAACTGCAAAGTCTGTTCTCAGTTCAGCTTCCGAAAATGCCGAAAGAGTACATCACTCGGCTTGTATTTGATGATAGACATAGGAGCATGGTACTTCTCAAGAAAGGTTTGTGTATTCACTATGTACGCTGAGTTATTTTATGTGCTTATTAGGCAAGGGCGTCATTGGCGGCATCTGCTTCAGACCTTTTCCAACACAAGGCTTCATCGAGATTGTGTTCTGTGCCATCACGGCGAATGAACAGGTTTGCAATTTTTTTTATCGATCTGCTATTTATGCATATTTCATGCTCTGAGAGTGTCTTTTGCTCAAGTTTTTTTCCAAACATGTGGTATCTGAGTGGTAGTGAAACTTTCTTCCATATAGTATTTTGATACTGACAACGTGAGACAAGAGCACTTATGAAATGTGTTTGTCTATTGGAAATACCGACGAGTATATGTCCATTTTGTAGGTGAAAGGTTATGGTACTCACCTGATGAACCACTTAAAAGACTACCAAGTTCAATGCGGGAATTATCATCTCTTAACCTTTGCAGATGAGTTCGCCATCGGGTACTTCAGGTATTGCGACATCATCAAATCTTTTTTATCAACACAAACAGTTTTTTTTTAGCAAGCAAGGGTTTTCTGCGAATGTTGAGATGCCCAAGAAGCTCTACCAAGGATATATCAAAGAATATGAAGGCGCAACACTTATGGGATGCCAACTCCATCCACAGTAAGCACACATTCACATGGTTAACATCTGAGATCATCATCTTTTTACAGAATGCGCTATACGGAGTTCTCTTCGTATATGAAGTCTGTCCGTGATATACATCAAGCCATGGGAGAGGTGAAATATCCGAATAAAACACGAAAATATGGTGGAATTGAGCACATATTTCGAGCGCACGGTAGTCTAAACTCTGTCCTGCTTTGGCTATCTGAGAAATCTTTTTTTTTTTTTCAGCTGGTGAGGGACTTAGGTTCAAGGATATACCCGGATTAGAAAACTGTAGTGACGATGAGAGGACAGAAAAGGATAGCGAGCTGGAGAGCAAGATCAGGACGATCTTGAAGAGACTCAATGCTGACAAATGGGCTTGGCCGTTTTTAGCTCCAGTAGATGCTGAAATGGTATGTCAAATTCCAGAGCGTTATTCGCTTCTCATTCTGTTTTTGCAGGTGCCTGAATATTACGATTACATAGAGTATCCAATCGACTTGAAGACTATGGGTGAACGTCTGAAAGCAAAATACTATGTTCATGTGAGTGCACACAATTTCCGTGATTGTGGAGCTTGGGTTGTTTTACTTCTTTTTTGGTTTTTCGTTAGCATGTATAGCGCCTATGACAAGTTGAGGCGGATAGCGGTGCGGGGAATTTTTGTGAGCGCTCAGATTATCAATTATTTAGAAGCAGAGTATATGCAATATCTTGAAAAGAAGTACAGCAAACCCTTCCCATGCTTTTTGCACATTTTGGTTATTAGATCAAAAAGCATCTGTGTTCAGTGTTTTGGTAAGCCCATATATATGCATTTCAGCAACACCTTTTTATTGCTGATCTCTGCCGGATGTTTGCGAATTGTTACAGCTTTAATGGGGTGGAAACCGAATATTATCGTTGCGGGTAAGGTATATTGTTACTTTGAGCACAGGTTGTTTTTCTGTTGTTCAAAGAAATTCAGTGTTAGAGCGCACAGATTTTTGTCTCGCTATTTTACTTCACTTCATGGCTTTGTTCATTAGTATAATTCCAGCTACCGATTAAACAAACTGGCCTTTGAACTGGTAACCAAGTACTTCCCTGAATCTCCTCTGAAGCCAGAACTACCGAGCTTGAAACCGACCCTTGATGAGTGATGTTTGTAAGTTCTTGTTGGACGCATAATATTAGAACTGTTTACTAACTAAATCTCTTCAAAGTTTGTACGGATCTCTATGGGTTTTGTATGTTATTGGCTTGCAGTTTGGAACTTTGCTAATTTTCAATGCTGTCATTTATTATGCTACTAGCTACAAGCTGTGTGATTTGCTGATTTTTATTCTTCAATTTGATTTTATTTATAATAAGCATGTTGTTTGTATGAAAATTTTTTACCCATCTAGTCTATCATATCCACGCATTAGTGTGAAGAGACGTTGTTTCTCATATTTATCGGAATTATCGTAAGGCTCCTTGATAATGAAATGCAAATTCAAATGTGCACAAATTCTTATACATGCAGTTGACTGCGAGACGAGAAAACAACCAAATAATATTCTCAACATAAATACACGTTCAAAGGCGGCAGCACATCGGCCAACGGCTAGCAAATGAGGATAGAGGTCAGACTTACCTAGTGAATTAGGGGGCAGTTATGAGAACGGTGTTTGGGTGCACTGCAGATAAATAGAAATCTCATAAATAAGCTAAAGGCCGATCCCTAACGAAGGCGGTCGGCTTACTACGCGAAGCGGGTGCAAATGCGCGTTCGAGCATCTTTCATCATTATAGCCCATACGCTCGCGCACGCTTCGCCATGTATAGCCGCCTTCGTCGGGGACTAGCCTTTATATCAACACGATTGTGCAAATAAGAAATCATATAAAGCGAATGTGTGTAGAATTGTCTAAATATGGCTAGTCTTTCTTTTTCGATTCTGGGAAGAATGCGTCGTCAAAAGTGCTCGATGAGGTAAATGTTAGCATCCTTTGACAGCGACATTTGATGGACATTCACAGCTTACTCCTTCTTGTCCAGGTAGGCAGAGGTACGAGCATCCACCATTACCGACTGAACAAGCAGTGTGGGCTGAAACAAGCAAGAGTTATCGACTTTATTCACCTAAGAAGAGTTTATATCAAAGTCAGCGGGACGACATCCTCGCGGTGGTGGGGGCGGTTCACATTTCATCATCTATACTTTATTTGTGTAATAATACTTATATTAGCTTCGCCTATTGCACCAAAATTGCCGGAATCTCTACGACTAGAAAGTTTGTGCGATTTCGGCAATTTGGCCCAGTGGGCGGAGCCTGCCACAAGGGAGGAGCTTTCTCTCCCCCCCCCCTTTGTCATATATAGAATGCATGAGTAAATGCATAGCATTTATACTTACAAATGGACGATAACGTCCTGTTTCACGATACAGATGTGAAAATAATGGATCGCTGTCGAGGTACTGAGAAAAACAAAAATAGAGTTTGCAGAAGACACAAAAAACAGATTTGTGCAAACTCGTGACCCTTTATTAGAAAGAAAAAAAAAGAAACTTACGTCCTATGCATTGTTTTGGAACGCTCAGAATCCCGTACACTTTGCCTGACCCTCCTAGTGAAATTGGGAATGAGGCGTAGCCTTCGCCATAGATACCGACCGAATGAACGCGATTACTGCAATGTTTTGCAAAATATGATTACCAGGTCAGATATAGTAAAGGCGCTCTTACTCTTTCCAATCTGTCCAGTAAAACCGTGCCTCGTTGCTATGTGTTAGACTGAAGGGATAGTTCAGCGGTGCGTAAACTACTCGACGATTGTTGCCGTCGAGACCAATACAGGATAATCTGTAATAGTGTGTTGTCACAAAAATCACAGTGCAGAACGATTTCCTAGGTTACCCCAAGCCTCCCATGTGATTGCTTTTATCAAGAGCAATGCAAACATTACCTCTGACCATTAATCACTTTTTTCAAAATTAATTCGAGGAAATAATGAGAGTAAGATGTACATTTAACAAAGAATCACACTAAATAACAAAATGCTGCAAAGTGAAATTTTCTCACTCAAATGTTGAGGTGAAATCTTCCGCTAAAAAAATTAAATAATTTTTATATTGGTCCGCAATCCTCTTTTTCTTATTTGGAAGAGAGATACGAAAGATATTTAGTCCCAAATGATCAATTATGAAGTCATGTCAGTTGAGAAGTTTGGAGGCTATGCAGTCGTCGCTCTCCAGAAAAAAGAAAAATCCCTATTTTTGTTGCATGTTGCTATTCTGTAAAAAAAATCTTGTTATTTACTGTACTTAATTAGATATTGATGATGAGTCCTTCCATAGAAAAGGCTCATAGACCCCCCCCCCCCCCTCAAAAGAATAGAGACAGAGCAAGGAAAAAAATAAATGTGCAAAACAAGCAAGAAGTGTAGAAGTAAATGCACATTCTTTACTCTCAAAAAATCATGTTAAATTAATAAACTGCGAATATTTTGGGTATCTTACTCGTTACTCTAGATTTCAAGTCTGTAAATAAATGGTCAAGAAATGGCTGTACGAAAAATTTTCAATGGCCCACCTGTGATTTCCAGCATCAACCCAACAAAGTTCTCGTCTGTTGGGGAGAACTGTGATCCCATTGGGAAGATGTACATCATCGTTCAGGAATATCCTATTGTTCTTTCCATCCATGTCCATTCTTCCAATTAGAGGATTCTCGCGATGCCAATCGGTATAGAACAGGTGCCTGTATGGGTACGACGATTTTTTCAAAATTCTAGGAAATTTGCCATGGACTTACCTATTTTGCAAGTCGAGGGCAAGCGCTCTTGGATTGACTAGCCCCTCAGTAAGAAGAGCTTTTTGATATTTTCCGTTTAGAGAAGCCACTCCTATTTCATCGTTGAGAGAATCAGCATAGTAGACATTTCTTAGAAAAATTTCTTTGACTTTGTCTGTAATTTTTTAACGAAAATGAATCAGACCTTGAAGACCAATCCACAGCGATTCCTTCTGGACTACTGAGTACATCCGAATAATATGACTTATGTTCTGTTCCATTAAGAGAAGCGGATCGGATCGCATGGCCAGAAATATCGCTCCAAATTAGGCGATCCTCTTTACAATCATAATCCAAGCCAACAGCAATATGATGTGGGATCACAATTAGCTGAAAATAGATCGTTATAGGACGGAGGTTTTATTATAGAGGACAATTGCGCAACTAGTCGATTGAAGATTACTTGTTTTCCAGGAATTTCCGGATTTACTCCACGTGAGAATATGGCCATTCCTCGTGAGACTAGTATTGTCTCTTCACGGGCTTGTGTGTCAGCTAGAATAAGGGACTTGGTGTATTGTAGTAGTACTGTAGGTACCGTAATTATGCAGTTAATTTGATCTTACGAGTGCAGGTTCGTCCATCTCCGTGATATCCATAGTGACAATTACAGACGTAATGTCCTCCTTCACCGGGTACACATTCGGCATGAGGATCGCATAGGGACCGATCATCCAGGCAAGATGCTAAAAATTCTGTATTCAAGAGTTACTGGGGTATTTTACCACGGCTAACTTACATGCTGCTGCAAATCTATAAGAATAGATAAGTAAAAGCGCAACTAGATAACTATAAAACATCTGCAGAATCATTTTCTTATTTAGCTGACATATTACAGGTTTTCGGATTATACGACAAATAATAGTTGCATCTGTTTCAAAAATTCATTTGAATATTGATATTTTGCGGGTTTGGAATGACTAAGAATGCTTTACGAGAAAAATAGGGAACAAAGAGACTAGAACTAGAGTATATCATAAAAGGTATGAGTCACTCAAACACGACGCGTAAGTGTGGGGTGAAGGAGATAGGGAAATAATTGCAAACAATCACAATCTCAAAAAAAATAAAAAAATTTTTTTTGTCCTCCGTTGCTTCATAGGAAATGGCAAAATTTTTTAATACCTGAGAAGTCGTTGGACTTTTTTAAATATATTAGGTCGTTTCAAAGGTAATTTCGCTTTTTTCAAACGGGCACCACATTTGACGGAACAAGGCTTTCTAAGAGATCTTGGAGGCATTAGATGCAGAATTTCATTCTCTTTCCCAAGGTTATGAAATTGTTGCAAAACATTCAATCAGCTTGCAGAAAATAACCAAAATCTGCGACACATGCTTTTTGAGATGGTCAAGTTTCACGATTTTTTAAAACTTTCGTATCAGTCCTCAGAAGGAGTTCAAGTAACGCCTTTATAGAGCAGATCCTACAGAATGCAAAACTACTTTTTTCTCGTTTCCATAGCTTGTCCTACATTTTTAACAGAATTTTAACTGATGCTACCGACTTCCATACTTGGGCAGCTAAATCCTGATAGAACATCAAAGAGCAGCTCGCGCACTATTCGATGCAGCATTATCTCATCTTTCTAACAGGCGTTTTTTGTTTCCGATTCGTTTAGTTTCCGGGGAGAAATCATCATATCTCATTTCTTTAGCGAACCCCAGGCTGTACCCGGAAAACTCGAAATTTGCTATTTCGAACCCGTAAACTCTCATTTGCTTTATAAAATCAATATTAAGTCATATATCACTCTGAAAGCTTGAAACTCCGAGTAATTGCTGATGTTTGATGCGATTGTAGCTGAGGTGGGCCTGCCAAAATCCGGTGATTGTGTTAAAAAATCTTTTAAAAAATTACGGCGAGCTACAAGAAAGAGAAAAAAATAGTACTGTATTCTGAAAGGCTTACTCTATTAAATCTTTACTTGAGCTCCTTCTGAGGACTGATACGAAAGTTTTAAGAAATCGTGAAACTTGACCATCTCAAAAAGCATGTGTCGCAGATTTTGGTTATTTTCTGCAAGCTGATTGAATGTTTTGCAACAATTTCATAACCTTGGGAAAGAGAATGAAATTCTGCATCTAATGCCTCCAAGATCTCTTAGAAAGCTTTGTTCAAATGTGGTGCCCGTTTGAAAAAAGCGAAATTACTTTTGAAACGACCTAATATTTTTGAAGATTAGAGATGTGCTGAAAGATAGTAAGGGAAAATCGAATAAATGTAGATAATGATGTGGCTGGAAAACAAGTAATTTTCCAAATCATATCGGTAAACTTTAATTTTGCATGTATGTAAAAATTCTCAGTCCCTTTTCCTAAATCATATTCTCACGGCAATTTTATAAAATGTTCGTGGCCACTGAGTCATTTATATATTAAAAGTCTGGTCAAGGTCGCCTACTTCTTTTTCTTCTAAATTTTTATGTTTTATGCCAATAACAGATTGTGCAACATGCGTTGTCATACTTTTTAAAATCAATCCCTGAGGCATTTCCGAAAATTTTTCGCAAAAGTGTAACTTTTCAAGCATGTGCATTATATGATGTGAATAATACTCTAATTAACGTGCGACTTTCCCTGCTAATTATTCTGCAAAAAAGACAAGAGAGTTTTTAGAGAATGAAGGAGACAAGCAATAAAAGAGATCTCACTTAATTTGCAAAAAAATCACTGTTTATCATACGGAATATAAGTTTATCTTTTCGATGAGAAACATTAGCTCTTTGAAAAATGATATATAGATTTATAAATTAGCAAGTGAAATTTAATGGGTAAAGTATTCCATAAAGACTATACTGCATGAGAATAGTCTAAAAATGGGAGCAAAAATAGTTGTGCCAGTCAAAAGTAAAAAAGATATAAATTAGTTGTAAAGAAAGCGCTTTGCTCTCTTTTATGAATTATTTTTATCTTTGAGTTGTCTCGTGGAAGACCAGGATGACTGGTTGACAGTGGAGATGGGAAAATATCAGGTTTTTCGTATTACATGTGCTACTGGTCGTAAAACTATGTAATCTTTTTCAACTTTCGTAACATTGACATAAAAACCATAAATCTCAATGGGATGACTCATACAGTTGTTTTCGGCTCACTGACGTCACTGTGTTGAATCTTCACACTGAACTGTTTCGGAGGTGAATCGAAAGGTTTGAGGATTTTTGACTTTGATTTTCTACAAGCGTGGGTGCGCTGTGTTCGAACTTACGCTTTAGAACGAGTTTAAAAATTGTAAGAAAGCCGCTTCATTTTGAATCTTGCTTGAGACACTCTGAGTGGGAGTGACGCGTGCGATCAATTAGCCAATTGCAGCTTCGATGGGTGGAGCATTAAAGGTGATTGGCTGATCATTCGCGTGCCATCTACCCTCTGATTCAACAGGATTGGCGACTGGAGGGCGGGGCTGCTTGGGCTCTGTAGCTCTTTCGCGAGCATGCTTTCTAATTACTTTCTCATCACCAGCGTGGGAAAGGCGGAGCTTCAATCTTTAAAGAGCACGTTCCCGAAAGAGGTTCAGAGCCAGGCAGGCGGCCGCGAGGACGTTAGCCCCACCCAGCAGCCGCCACTCCTGTTGAATCAGGGTGTATTCATACATAAGCTTACATTTTGAAAAGAACTTTTGGATTTTTACATGCAGCTTTTATCTCAACACTCATATTCATAAAAGGTGAGCCCAGAATCATGAACCCGAAACTGGAAACCAAGGAATTCAACTTACTCATGGCTGCACAGACAAAACCATTTCCTTGATAGCCAGCATTACATTTGCATTGCCATCCACCAGCTGGTGTTTGGCTACAGTGTGCATGAATAGAACAGTTGGAGCAGCGTGGGGTTTCTAGAAAGTATTTCGTTCAACAAGAAATACAATTTTATACAAACAAAAAATTATGATTGATTTCATGTAACTTTTCCTGTTACTGGATTTTTGCGTTAACGCGTACTGTGCAGACTTATGAGAAAATTGCGAGGTTACTTGTTAGTTTTTGATATTGTAAATATTGCCTAAATTACAACTCACAAACAGAACATCTTTCTACACTATCTTGCTCTCTGCTTGTTCTGTACAAGCCCAGTTCTGCACAAATATGGAAAAATTGCGTTAAATTCCCTCAGCTATTTGAAATCTATGCCTATGAGCTTCTTATATATTGCTAGCACATGAACCGCGTCGCTGCCGCTTTGCTGCATCTCACGTTCACATAAACTAATGTAGACAAGAACAAATCGTATACCTTGTATATCACATCTACTGTATCCATCACCCACAGCTCCTGGTTTACAGACACAAACGAAGGTATTTTCGTGATGATTGTAGACACATTGAGCATTCGCATGACAAAGCCTTGGTTCTTCTCTGCAGGTCTGGGGCGGGGCATGTGGAACACATTGTACTCCGTCGCCGGTAAAACCTGAAAATGTTATTTTTAAATTTTCTTTCGCTATGACAAGGTAAGATTCTTACCTCGTACACATTTGCAAACGTATGCGCGCTCGGTCTCTCCATAGACACATTCAGCATTTTGATGACAGGACGATTTGTCCACAGGATTGCATTGATCTAGAAAAATAACAAACTGAGATTGTTACTCCAAATTAAAAAGTAAAGTATAGTCGAAGATCTGGTTGAAAAATGTGTTTCTACGACGTTTCAAACGCTTAAAAAACTGCCATAGAGCGCAAAACCTCAAAGATTTGCGCTGTTTCCATTTTTTACGCGCAACTGTTGTCTGCACCGCAATTGCATTCTATCAACAATCAAATCTATCAGACAGCGATTTTCAGTCGGCGGTCAATAGTGTCTTACTTTCAAAACGTTTTGCATAAAAATGGTCATGGAATGCAAAATGCAAAATTTGCGTTCGGCGAGACCATTTTCCACGCGCAAATGTTGGCTGCACCGCTGCGGCACTACGCTTATTGTCACTATTACTGCGCTATGGATAGTTTTCGTTACCTGCAATGACACACTGCCGGATTCCATCCCCTCGGAATCCTGGCAAACATTCACAGATATAGCCTGTTGCAGATACAACACAATGACCATTTCGGTGACAATCCGTAGCGTCGCGACATTGTTGTGGACGTTCTTGGACTGAAACAAAAAAGTGTAATCTAAGTTAACTTACTTTTTTCTTATTTTATAACAATCTGTTCATCAAATTACGGTACCCTGTGACAAGTAACACGTATATAATTATTTGATGACGCGTAACCGTGTGCATAATAATTTAGAACATCGATGAATCCATGGAATACTTCCGAAATCATATCAGGTCAAAATAGGAAATTCTTCTCAACAATATGTGACCATTGCTATAAGGCAAGTGATTTTTTGTAGGGTCTCTTACATGGTCGCTAAGAAGTTATATGGTCTCTTTTTACTTTTCAAAAAATCATGCACTTTTTAAGTCCTCGACGTATTGTAATACTCTTTCGAATAGATAGCACTTTCCGATCATAACGAAAATTAGTTTTTATTCCTGCTATAACAAAAACTAAAAAATTCCTATTCTCGATTTGGACACGCCGACCTTGTGTTCCTTCCCATGGCTGTCCTCCAGTGTGGATCTGAACACACGTCTTGCCGTCTCCAGCAAATCCTTCGTGGCATTCACACTTATAGACCCTAAAGAATCATTTTTCTTTGATTTTTTGACCTATTGTACTTTCCGTCTAATGTCGTTGTCTACAAGAGCATCAACGTTGCTCAAGTAACTTCTTTTCAAAAAATCAAAATGATTTTTCATATAGGAAGCTAGCCCTGCAGTATTTTCGAGACTGGCTTACCTACGCTCTCTTCATCTATTCATCTAGATTATTTCAATCTCCAAGTTTGCAAAAATCCTTTGAAAGGAATGTACAACTCCCCATTTCCATCATTAGCAAGCTTCTGTAATCTCTCCCCCCCCCCTCTTTCCACTTTCCCTCAGCGGAATCTCTGTGACCATTACAAAATCAAAAATTAAAGTCAACTGCGCTACCTGTTGTGGTCATCGTAGACACATTGTGCGTTCGGGTCGCAATTACGGAGTCGATCGCAGCCTTGTTGCTCCCCTGAAAAATAGCGTATCAGAAGGGTTAAGAATTAAAAGAACCGAAATCATCTCTTCTCCTGTCTGTGACTAGAGTTAATTTTATTGCCATGCAGAAGCCTACCTCTTTCTCTTTCCGGTTCTCCCGGCAGCGAACATTCTACTCCATTACCCACATAAGGTTCGGTACATGTACAGTGATAATAACCAAGTGTTCTGCTATAAGTGCAACTTCCGTGTTCTGAGCATTCCTCATGCGCTCGACAGACTTTGCCTTGAATTGAATTATACTCCTGCAATTTGGTTTTTTCACAAAGTCCACTTACCAATGGTTTCGGCTGGTACTTGCGTTCGTGGTTGTTCCTCTTCTTCGTCTGTCAGCGATTCGCAAGAGATTCCGTTGCCATGATAACCAGCTTTGCACACGCATTCGGACTGAAGGCAGAAATCATGCTCATTTTTTTCTGTACAGGTCCTTTTGCACCGCTTGCGCGCACTCGTTTGGCCGCGTGCGGCGACGTTAAAAGATGGACGAGTTACGTCATGTCTTCACCCGATAGCATCAAGATTCTGTTTCTACACCTATCGTGTTAGACATGTTTAATGTATAAAAGCGACGAAGTACTTGCGCGCACAACTCGTCCAGCCCTACGCCCTTGCACCGCCCCCCAAAGCCTAGCCAACCGCAGTCGCCTTCTGACCAATCAGGGGCCTCCTTTGCCAAAGGTTTCAAAAACACTTTTACCAAATTTTTTTTCGTAAAAAAGATCTTTTAAAGGAACTAACCCCTCCACTTGGTGATGGCATGCATTCAGCGTGAATGTCACAGACATGATGACCACATGGTTGACCACCTCGTTCCGGAATGTTTGCATTGAGGCGAGGCTCTTCATGGCGTTGTTCTAAAAGTATAGTATGAACTATTTTAGTGAAGGCAATGTAGAACACATTGCACCCAACAGAGTGGGACATCTAGCCCAAATGATACATCTACACGCATTAGGTCTGTGGCAGTTGTCCGCACAAACGGAGCTTTTGGCTGATTTCTGTGGGAGGAGTGGCCAGTTAAGCTTACCTTCTGGAGGGCCACAATGATTGACACCGTCACCGACGTACCATCCACGGCACCGGCACATACCATGTGGTGATCCATCTGCGAAAACACATTCGCCCCATTGGTGACATTGATAGTGATTTGTGCAGGAGCCCTGAAATTAGTAAGCGATAGGTCGTAGACTGTCACGGATTTATTGAGATGAAATTTAAAACAAAAAACTATGGAAAGAAGTTTCACAGTCACCCATTTACACTAAAAAAAGAAACATTTTTCATAAATTTGCAATTTCTTCTAGAAAAAAAAACTAAAAGGAGTTATTGATAAAGACAAGTCATTTGCAAAGCCCTGCTTGTTATGTACATTATCCCACTTTTCCCGCACACAACAATGTTAACAGCCTGTTGGCTCCTTCAGCCACTCCTCTTTTTGGCTCAGCTCCGCCCAAACACAACAGTGGCTTCTTCTAATGGCAGCTACCTTTCATTAAACAGAAAAAGTTACAGGAAGAACTCATGATTCTGCGAAATTAGTTTTTGCTAAACTGCTCGTAAAACTCAAGAAATTTTCTGCGAAATTTTGACAGTACCTAATATCTAAGCTGAAAGTTCGCGATCGCCAACAGAAACTATGCAGATTTTTTATTTCAAAGCATTACCTATTAATGGCTAAAATTATGTTTGAAAATTTCGTATATTTCAAAAAATTCAAAAGAGCCATCCTTCACGATTCGAAGTACGGAGGAGTGTGGTAATGTGCCAGTTTCTCATAATTTGTTGCTTGTCCCAATCGCTTTTGTGTATGGTGCCTGCGCGCCGAATAGTGAACAGCTGGCACATTGCCAGATCTCGCTGCGAAGAGTATAGTCGCGGAAGCCTACCTCCTGGGTAGAAGACTAGGGTAGGAAAACCAACTCCCGCAATAGGCGTCGCCTACGTGAACTGCTATACCTTCACGCATTAGCATATGGCGTTCGGAGCAGTGGTCCGCGGAGATGGCGCTATTGGCGGAGTTCATTAATTCATCAGCAGGACTACATGACGCCGAAAACGGAGGTCCCACGAAGACATCCGCAACAGATACGCACTTCTTGCGTTCAGATGAGGTTCGTATTTGCTGCAGATGTCCGCGCCCGGCACCTACTTTCGTGAAATTCCCTCTACCTGCCTCTTTCTTGTGCTAACCTTTGGTAGCTGAACCTGTGGTTCCGATGGAATTGGTCGTAGTCGCTGCGTCGGTTCCACTTCCAGCAAAGGATGTGTTAGACCAAATGCATCCATAGTCGTCTCCACATCTTCGTCGTCTCCAACAACAGCTGAAAAAATTATTCATTTACCACCTGGCCCTCAAACCAGCACACAACAGAGCAGCACAGCACACTCGGCTCACGCACTGGTACAGTGATGGCCGTCGCCAGTGTAACCGGGACGGCATTCACAAGTGAACGATCCGTCCGTATTGTGACAGATAGCGTAGTGATCGCACGTGTGATCTCCACGTTCGCATTCATTCAAATCTGTGCACAGATGGGAATCTGCCACGTTCAGTTACCCAAGTGAGAGATGCTTACCCTGACAATTCCAGCCAAGTGGCGATGACTCCTCCCGCTTTGCCTGGTAACCTGGCAGACATTCGCAGCGGTAAGACGGTTCCACTGGTCGACAACGCATATTTGGGAGAGTGCAGACATGACGACCCTCGGTACAAATGTCCTGAACTGGGAAAAGTGAGAAGGATCTTGGTCCCCAGATAGTCAAATCGAACCGTTGTTTGCTCAACTGGATTATACGCCCGGCGCTGAGCTTCCTGACGTTGTCGTTCGTATTGAGCATCTTGGCCTGGTGGAGTTGTGGTGGTAGCGCCCACGGGTTGGGCATAGTTTCGGGAGCCGTACCTATAAACAACAATTCTTTTCCACATTTTACACAATACAGTTCACCGAAACTTCCCCAGGGTAAACAGAATTTGCAAAAGCTGCAAGATTTATGGTAACTTTTGGGACAAAGTGGGTAGGAGTACGGAAATTCTACAGGAGAAATGATCTGTTGAAGAAAAAATTCTGGTATTTTCAGTTAGCTATCCACCATTTAACAGGACCAAGAAATTGTTGGATTCTAAAAGATTTTACAAAAAAAATATCTTTGACTCGAGTGGAGTTACTTTCGTAATGTTCTGCGGAACTTCAGGAACGATATAGTGGTTGATGCAATACTTGATCGACAAGATGAAATATTGTCGTAAATATAAAAGTAACAGCAGATTTTTTCCACAAAATTACAAGTATTGAGTTCTTAGAAAATTTCAACTATTTGTTCCTTTACATCGCGTTTTTAGTCACCAAGTACAGACAGTTTGTAAGACTTCGCGTAAAGTTGCAAAGTCTTTTATTTTAAGAGACTCCTTGAAAAGTTCTGAAGAGAAATGTTTATTGAAAAAACTCACCTTACAATTCCTTCATTTGGATCATATGTGACATGAACTCGCTTGACATGAAGTACTACAGCGTCGTCTTTTTCAAACTGAAATAATTTTATTAGGAGTAAAATTATGGAAAATTTCAAAAAAATCAGGAAAGGGTCATTAATGTCGTCAAAAATCAACGCGTTCCATGATTAGCAAAATGTTGCAAACGGTTGGATATATAGTTTGTTTTAAAGAAAATTATATATTGTTTCTATTTTGTCAATTTCCAAAAACTGCAAAAAAATCATAAAAAACCGCCATTTTGATTTCACCTATCAATCAGGAATTTCTAGCATTAGAAAAAGGAAGTCAAAGATATGATAGAGTCTCAAGTAGTTTACTGGCAAAACAACTCACCGTTCTGTGTGGACACTCATCAAATTGGATGAGTTGATCAACAGTCATGCGAATTGTTTTCGTCTCTCCGCCTTCTTTCAGCAAAATGTCCATTCCAGTGTACGATCGAACAAGTCCTAAAACATACGATATCATAAAGATAACATTCCTTCAGTTCTAAAGATTTGTGTCTTGCCTACCTGGTTTTTCCCTTCTATACTCTTCTTCGTAGTCGGGGAACTGCACTTCTGCCCCAGGTGCCACATCTGGCAAAGTGCCAGAAACGAAGACCTGGGAAAAGGAGCGATTGCTCAAAACACGCACTTAAGAATGTCTGAATACTGTTCGATTGATATTGACTACTTTTGTTGACTTTGATAACCTTGTAAATTGAAAAGAGCCATAAAATCAAAAATCCACAACTAAATCACTTTTGCATAAAAACTCAGATTAACACATGAAAACAGCCATATATAGCCTTTTCTGTAATCCAACTTTATATTTCTACATTTTTTATTTCCACTGCTGGCTTTTTCTTGTTACTAAAAATCTCTCATCTATTGTAGTATGTAAGATTTTTGAAACAGAATATTTTATGTCACGTTGAAGATACGTAACTTCTGAGCAGCAGCGTGTAGAAGCGAACTAAACATTGTTATCGGAAAACAAAAGAAAATGAGAGGAATGTATTAGTTTTTTTCCGAAAACTACGACTTTAGAGAAAAATGCATATTGTCAGTGAAAAGATTCTGGATATGACTACATTATTGTATTACTTTTTGAAATTTTTTTCGAAATTTTTTTCTGATTTTTCTTCTACCTACCGTAGCTTTGAAGTAGTGGTAGATATCTCGTCCACTGAATTTTTGACGAATTGAAACTTGATAGCGATCGCCAATGTGAAGGGTTACGGTGCGATTGAAAAGCCCTCCAGTCAGTTGGAAGCCATTGTAGACCCTTGGAGATTGTACCTATGAATGGGAAATGAAAATTTTTCGAAGGATGAAAAACCGTAGAACTTTGGCGCCTGGTTAGAAAAGTCAAACTTACATCAGCGAAGAGCCATCCCATGATAGATCCTATAGGATTCAAAATAAGAAATGGTGAACCAAGGTCCGAAGGGATCTTCGACACTGCTGTATATGCATGTCCATCTGTGGCCGTAATGAATGTATGTAAATCAGTTCTATCAATTGAATTGCCATTGATCACGCCTTCGAATGAGCCGGAAATTCGTTGTGGGTCTCCTAAAAAATTGTACTTTTTATCAATGGAAAAACATTCCAACCAAATAGTTATTAGCATCGAACTTTCTGCTCATCAATATTGCAACCAGATAGTTGATAAAAAATTACGATTCATTAGCAATGTAGATAGTTCGAACAACACATTTATGACTTTCAAATGACCCAGAGTCATTTGAAAGTCATAAATGTGTTGTTCAAACTATCTACATTGCTAATGAATCGTAATTTTTTATCAACTATCTGGATGCAATATTGATGAGCAGAAAGTTCGATGCTAATAACTATTTGGTTGGAATGTTTTTCCATTGATAAAAATTGGCTATCTAATCAAAAGTCTCCAGTTTTGTTTTTATGAAAAATAATTATGTCTGTCATAACTTTATATCTAGTTGAAGTAATAGGATGCCAATTCACATTCACTTATGGAGTCAATGTATCACAGTAGAAGATATTTTTGACATTGAAAAACAAACCTTTCTTTAGACATTCCTTTCCGTTGCCGTAGAATCCTGGGCTACATTCGCAACAATAACCTCCAGGATAATCCCTGAAAGAGTTATTGAGAATATTGAGCTTGGAGTTTATCTGTAAGCTATAAGTTATAGCACCAAACTAGTCAGAAAGTTTGAATCACTGATTCATCAGAAGATTTCTAATGAAACAAAAAAGAAGGCATTTGACACAAAGTCGAGAACGCTTCAAAATTTTAGAATAAAATGGACAAGCAAAATAATTCCTACATAATCTCTTGATCCCGCCCCCGTCCCAAAAGAGGTGATAGATGAAAGATTCATAATAGCCGAGAACATATAATAGTAATAATAGTAATGTAATAGTAATAATATAATGTATAGTTATATTTTTGCCAAAGATAAAATAGATGTTAGCGAAAGCAACAGAAAAGATGTTTTCACCACTTGTACACTAGCTAAGACTTCACGGATTGAAAAAAAGACATTCGAATTGTCGGCTCAACTGCCTTTTTTTTTCTAAACGATAAATCAGCAACACTTTCGAGACTGCCCAATTTTTATTCTAGACAATAAAGAGCAGAAAACTACTTACTTGCAGGCTGCGTTCTGGTTACAAACTTCTTCTCCTGCTTCATCGCAAGTCGACGGCGCGGATTTGGGTACTAAATCATAAAAGATTGTTGAAATAATCGCTATCACAAAACATAAGAACATAGATAAGTATTCGTCAAGTTAGAATTTTGTTCAAAAAACCATTTTCAAAAAATTATTAACGGCAAATGAAACGCTTTTGAAGAGCCCGTTATAGAATGATTTGAAAATCAATTTTGTTGCTTTTGAGGCACCTAGTGAATCTAGGAAAATCCGCAAAACCTGAAACTGTTCATTCTGCTAACATCATACACTATCTTCAAAAAAGAAAACTGTAAAATCGTTCTTCATACTTTCAATCTCTTCTCCTTCTTCTTGCTGCTGTGGCTGTGGCTGTTGTTGCTCTTGTTCTCTTCTCCTATCTTCCTCTTCCGCTCTCCTCTCTTCTTCTTCTGTTCTTCTTTCATCCCCCTCCCGTCTCCTATCATCCTCTTCCGGTCGTCTCCTATCCTCCTGCCCCTGCTGTTGCTGTCTTTCCATCTGCTGTCTCTCATATTCTCTTCTCCGTTCCTCCTGATGTCGCTCATGCTCACGTCGCCTTTCATCCTCTCTCTGTTGATGTTCTTGCACCAGTCTTTCGTGTTCTCTCCTTCTTTCCTCTTCCTCACGTCTTCGTTCATCATCAGCATTTTCGCGAGCTTCCAGGGTAGGAAGAGGTTCTGTAATTTTGTTTCCTTCGTGGTGGCCATGACGATGATGTATCGGAGGTTCGGGAAGTTTCTCGTGAACGCTGTCTTCGGTGATACTTTCTTCGGGTACTGGCTCTGAAAGAAGGTGATGTAAGAGAGGTTGTGGACCATTTTGTACCGCTACAGTATGTTATGGTATCAAATTGTTGGCTTTCAATGCAGTAGACTACGACGCAATTACACGAGAACAGTTTCCTTCGAGTGCATTCTGAGGAGGTAAGAAAAGTTCCCAAATGAGGATGATGCAAAAAAGGTGAGGACCGTTTAGCACCGCTACAGTATGGTATGGCGTCATACAATGGGCTTTCGCTGCTGTAGATTACGAAGGACAGTGTGCGTGCGCGAAAAGTTTTCTGCGGTAGTAAATCTTGAAAAGCTAAGAGTAGTTTCCATGATATACAAAAAATGGTATAGGTCACTTTGTACCGCTACAGTATGGTACGGAGCCACATTGTCAATTTTCGTGTCGGTGCCATGCAAGCGACAGCATGACACAATTTTTGATAATGCAATTTATTGCGAGTATTGCTTGTGTGGAAAGTGCCATAGGTTGGTCACAAGAAAAATTCTTTTGCGGGCTTTTGGTGTGCGAAAATTAGCTGCAGAAATATTGTGCCGGGAGCGTCGTTACGTTTTTACCGCGCGGGACTTCAGCAGTGGTCCCGAACGTTCACTTTCAGAGAAAAAACAAGCAAAATTGAAGCAGAAGACAGTTCGTCTCCATACAAGTCCTGCTGGGTCCCATAGGGAAGAGCTACAGTTTTGGTTATACTGTAGTGATGCAAAAGTGCCGTTTCGTCTCTTTACAAAGGTATGAGTGAGGGCATTTAAACACTTCATTCATCAAAGGTTCCTGCAGCGGAAAGCTACAGTCTGCAATACTGTAGTTATGATAAGGGGCTCTTTGCAAAGTACGAATTTGCTTGTCTTGTTTACCTGCGCACACACATCTTGAACACATTCGTTCATCGGTGAGAATATTACATCCCTCTGGACATCTATCACTATACGGATCCGGAGGACAGTCGGCTGCTAAAACAATTTGTCACTTGAGAGTGTCATAAATCATTCACAGGGAGAGGGGGAGTGACATTTGTAGAAACTTACGTGGCTTCCTGTCATCGCCATCATAGTCAGTCTGGTCGTAGTTTGTATATTCATAATCATCACCATTCTCTCGAGGATCTTCTATAGCTGGACCAGAGATTCGGAAGATGAACGATGTTCCTTCCGGATTGTTTGACAGACTGAAATGAGGTTCTAAGTCACTAATTACCACCTTGTCAAGTCTTTTTGCTATTTTTTTGAAGATTTAAAATTTTTTGAACTTTCAAAGGAAAAGTATCCCTTTCAGACTGCTACAGTATGACCGAGTGCCATGCAGAAATTTTACATGATGAAACGCGAGCTGCATGGAAGTGATATGGCGAGAAAGAGACGAAGAAAAAAGTGCAGCGTTGCTCTTTCACCCTGCTCTCAGCGTATGGTTCCCCAGAGAGAAATAATAGCACGGTAGGATACTGTAGATGTACAATGAGTACAATGGCCTATTTTTCATGGACGTTAAATGATGAAGTAAAGTAGAATAGAAGCCTCTACCAGGGTATGTGCTACTACGATAACTCGCATGGTAGAGGTGTAAAAAAGCCCACTGCTTCTGAACAACTGTGGCGATGTACGGTAAAAGCGTTAAAAGGCAAAGGCATGCCCAATAATGTGGGAAAGTAAAAATGTGTAATATTACGTGATTAGTAGCGTACGATAGAGGTGAAAAGGGCTCACGCCACAAGATGCCCAATAATGTAGGAATCGAAACAAGTATGTGTTTAGATAACATAAGTTAGAGGTGTAAAAGGCCCACACTCTCATAATCGCCTATAAAATAGGACTATATACATACATGTATGCGTTACCACGGCAACATACGGTAAAGCTTTGAAAGAGCCCACAACTTTTGAACTATGCCAGCATACAGTAAAACGTAAATGAGTCCAGGCCTCAAGATGTCCCAATGTATTCAGAAAATTGCAGATATGTGTCATTACGGCAGCATACAGTGAATGTGTAAGTGCACACACCTTCCAAACTACTTCAGATACAGTAGACGAGTAAAAGAGACCTTGCGACTTTTAAATACGGCAACGTACGTAGAGGTGCAAAATAGCGTACCCTGCACTCAAGAATATAAGACCAATATAATTTACTGTGGTAAGACAAGGTAAAGGTGCAAAAGGGCCTACAGGTTTTAAACTACGTCAGCACAGTAGAAATGTAAAACAGCCTGCAGCTTCTAAATTGCGACAACATACGGTAGAGGTGAAGAAGAGCCTACCCGTAAATGGCCGTGCAAGCTAATGACTAAAAACTAATCAGCATATCTTGTAATGAAACCCTATCGAGCCAATTATTTCACATCGAAACCACTAAAACTTGAAGTGCTCTGCTACGGTAACATAACTCCAATGGGCAAAATCTCCCAAAAATATGCTAGCTAAAGTAGTCAAATCTAATCGAGGGAGATGCTTTATATCGGAATTTTCAGGATGATTCTTACTCTGATATATGCGGCAACACACTGTAGAGGTGTAAAACGGCCACTACGCCAACATTCCCAAGAAGTTAGCTAATGAGTGACAAACTAATGTGAGTGATAAACTCCTACCGAGCGAGTTCTTTCACATCAGGACCCCCTGAGTTCGTATTGCTTTGATAGCGTCCATCAGGCATAGCAAATCCACTCTGCGCATAGATCCCTTCCGACGCCGACCATGGCAGTGTAAGAAACTGCATCAGCGCGTATGTAGTCATTCCATCGGATGCTAGCGCTAGCTAGAAGAAAAGGTCATCAGACTGATGGCTGCGATTATTTAACAGCGATTGTTTCATTGTTTTCGTACTTGAAATGTCGCGCCACCATCTTGCTCTTTGTTTTGAACTCCGTCCCAGGTGATAACCATCGCTTGTAGGGTTTGAAAGTCAGAACTGTCAGCGAAAGTTTTGTGGATATAATCGGTCAAACGGCGGAGAAGTGCTCGATCTGATGATGTTGCTCTGAAAATTCGAATCTTGCTTCAAATTCCGAGGACCTGAGACTTGAAAACTACCTATAATAGACGGTCCCCTCACTGGCAGGAGCATAGAATGGAGCTATAGCACTTCTATTTAGCCTCTGCAGCGGTACAACGGCGTCTGCAAGTTTTTTCTCAGAACTGGGAAAATGACGAAAATTTCGTATACCTGGTAATCGATCTCCAAAGCCAAGTATGCCATTAGGTGATATGTAAACTTCACTGTAAGGATTTTCCATATATACCATTGGGACATCGATGGCCGTAGCATGTTGGCCAGCTGAGAAGTCCAAACTCTAAAGAAAGTTTTTTGGTGTACTTCAAACTGCAACTTATCTGATAGCTGCAAGGACCAGGGCCAGCTTAGATATGTTATAATTTTTTTTGGAAAACCTTTATGTCTACTCCAAAATCAATATGACTTATGTACATGATATAGGGTAGTGGTGTTAAAGACCCCTACCCTGTGATGTAGCATGAGAAGCAATTTTGAAAAAAATATGCGTCAAGATAACCCAGTTTCCAAGTAATATGGTATATTAGGAAATTATTATTGATGTCAGAGTAACTGTCATTTAAATTGGTCTAATTGGCCGACTGAAGACATTTTTTAAAAGGTATTTTTACTTCACCACTTTGAAAAACGGTTGTCATAATAGAAAAAACAAAAGGAAAGAAGACAAGGACCAAAAAACCATGTTATGAACACTACAAATTTTTCTTTTCAAATCTTTTTTCAAGATCAGAATCTAATCTTCACAAGATAACTTTCTCGGAGATAGTCTTGACAGTCCATTCAAGTAAAATCTGAAAGCGTTTCATTCAAAATGCATTGTGTCAAAAATTTCTGGCTTACCGGAGGAAATTTGGTCTTTGCACATGGAAATTAACATACACCTCGTCCCGCAATCGAAAAAAACGCTAACTCAAAAGACAATCAATTATTTTGAAGCTCCTACACTGTTAAAAGCTCTCAAAAATTGCTCTCAAAACTTTTGCATCGAAAATTAGAATTGGATCGAAATCGAACCTGCATCGTTTATTGCGGCCGAGTAAAAATCTAGGAGATTTATTTTTATTTTATTTTCTAAAGGTATTCTTTTCCCTAATTCATGTGAGCTAACCCATTAATCATTCACGATGAGTATGGGCTGCCTATACGTGAAGAGGGGTGGTCGCGTGTTAATTGCCATACTATAGCTCATCTCATCTATCAAGACGGTACACTTCATTAGCAGTCTTAAATCATTTCAATGTCTCTCGTGCATGCTAGTCAAGAAGAGTACAAGTAGGTCCCCGACTTGGCATTTCTGAACGAATCCATCGCGAATCAATTTTGCGACTCGTATTGGTCCTAACAATAAGTTTGCATCACTAGTATAGTAGAAAAAAAATTTTAAGGAAAAAGAAGGTAAGACAAGTTTCCACAGCTGCAAGAGCGTGACAGACCTAGTTCTTGGATAAAAGGGAGTGGTTAGCCAAGAGGGCGTGGTTAGCCACATGTTGCGAAGAAATTTTGCAAAAATCCTTTACATTTAAGGTCGAACATTCTTTGTGGCACCACCCAATTTTTCAAAAATTAGATTAGTATTCAGTAGATTCAGAAATTATTTCGATTAGTAATATTAGGTTGCCCCATAAGTCTTTTCATATCTGAATTTTCACCGGCATAAGTCTGCTCTCTTCAGATTTGTAATATGGTGCGGGGCACCATTTGAAAGATCAAAGCAAACTCTACAATATGGCTTTCAAAACCTCGTACCAGGCTTGATCTTCATCGAGTTTCAAGACAAAATGGAGAGAAATAAAAACTCCTGGAAAAACGAAAATAATTGTATCTCAGTTCAAAAACACCCTGCAAAGTTCCTACTTGCCTACGCATGTAAACTTCCTATCAGATATTTATATATGCACTTTCTGCATTTTTCTGATGTTTAGGAATAGAGAAAAAAATAGTGCGCTCAGTTTTCAAACTTTGCCTGTAGTGGGTTTACGCTCCTCGCAAATATATAATTATATAGCTTATTCAGTCAGTATTCAGTCAGAATACTCCCACAAATTTGTACTTTTGTAGATGCCTTAGTTTTTGAGAAATATCGGTTTGAAGGTACAAATATGAAAAGACTTATGGGACAACCTAATAAATAATTAACCCTGCCGCTCATCTCTTTGTGTTCAGGCTGCAACAAGTTGGAAAAACAAATATTATTTTATTTCACATTAACCAGCATGTTCTTTTTTAGGCTCTCCCCTATGCTCACTCAGAAAATTGAGAAGCTTGCGAGATACAAAAGCTCGCGTTTGTTTATAATGACACGGACGCTGAAAAACAATAACGGACTTTAGTGGTGCTAAGCATGTTAGTCAGCAAATGGGATTTGTGTACCAAACAAAGACTTCAAAAGACTACAAGGTGCGAATCATAAACATTTAAAAGTTGTTGATAGCTCATATGCTCGCAGAAGGTTTTTATATTCTATTTTTATAAATATACCCGAGTGCACCAGAATGTAAAAGAAATAAAAAGAAGTTTGAAACTAATGAGATGAGCCAGTCCTCAACCTCAAAAAAAGGTATAAGGAATTACGGATGGAAAAACAGAAAACGAAGCTCTAGACGTCAAAAGAAACAGTCTCAAGAATCCTGCATACTTTTTAGTCGAATTCTTTCACTTCCTTTGCCGCCCGTTCGATGAATGAGGAAATTCTTAACACACAAGCACAATCAATCTATCACGCTACCAGTTTAGTTTAAGAATTTTTTAGGCATTAGAATAAAATTGGACACATAGAGCTGTCTCTTTGATATATCGTCAGTCGTCTGATCATCTTTGAGGGCTTCTTCTTTGAAAAGATTCAGTCAGCTTCATTTAAACGAGAATCAGCGATGACAATTTCGCAATAGTTGCACTTTGCGGTAATGTCACTTTTTGTTGTCATAATGATATTTGCAATATTCTGAAACCAATAAACAGATATATATTAGGTTGTCCCGAAAGTTCGTTCGCACCATTTTCAAAAAATCGTAACTTCTTTGCATCATGACCGCTTTGAAAAATTTAAATTTCTTTAGAAAGCGTAAAGTACGTAGTTTCCGACAGTTCCCCGGTGACTTTCCAGCATGTTTAGATTGCAGAGATAAAAATGAAAGGAAAACATCCGAAATTCGGAATTTTTGAGCAAAAGTTCTAAAAATCTAGAAACTGCGCGATAAAACCCAGAAAAGCCATTATCCTAATTCTTCTTATATTTGATTACTAAATGAGTTAAGTTTGTGCTGATCGAGCTCTTCTTTTAAAAGTTATGATTTTTTGAAAAAAATTTCGAAAAATCACTTTCCTAAGAATTGCTAAGAAATTGATTTTTCGGCATTTTATTTCAAAAAATCATAACTTTTGAAAGAAGAGCTCGATCAGCACAAACTTAACTCAGTTAGTAATCAAATATAAGATGAATTAGGATAATGGCCTTTCTGGATTTTATCGCGCAGTTTCTAGATTTTTAGAATTTTTGCTCAAAAATTCCGAATTTCGGATGTTTTCATTCTTTCTTTTTTATCTCTGCAATCTGAACATGAGGGAAAGTCTCCAGGAGACTTTTGGAAACCACATGCTTTACGCTTTCTAATAAAATTTAAATAGCGCGAAATCGTTACGATGCAAAGAAGTTATGATTTTTTGAAAATGGTGCGAACGAACTTTCGGGACAACCTAATATATATAATGATATTCTAGCAACTATTTGGCAGTTTTTATAGCATGCATGACATAGATACGCAAAAGGTTCAGCCAGGCCCGGAAATTCAGCAATTTGTTGATCAGATTTTAGAGAAGTTTCCTAGACAACTTCTTTGTAGTGCTCTGTTTTCAGCGAAGGCAACATAAAGCCTTATTTTCATGGCATTTCAAAAAAAATTTTCCTAGTTGAAAAGGAATCTAATCCGTATAATGTTTTCAGCAAGGAAAGGCTTCTCTGTAACTCGTAACACCCACCAGTAATTGGGGTTTCTTGTCATTTTTCGCCTATACAGAGTCTCTGGCAAGCAAGAATATCTTGATTCAAATTTTCAGATTTTGAAGAAAGAGATGAGGAGCAAGATTTATCTTACAACTAAGAATTTAGCTCTTTGTTGAAGCTAGATGTTCACAGACGGGTATCGCAATTCATCTCTGTTAGGTTGTCACTAAGTTTTGATACGTTTTATGGAAAAAAATCTTCATAAGTTCCTATTTTTCTCATTTTCAATTAGGGAAATGTTATTTATTTCCGATATACATTTCAAACTTGAACAATGCGGTTTGGAATTTTTCGAAACTTTTTAGAATTATTTTTGGCAACTTTCCAACATGTGTTATCAAAGAGCTTGAAGTTTCGAAAACTTCCTTCTTTTTGCTACTGATGCATTCCCGGAAGCCTCTAGAAACATGGAAATACGGAGAAGTGAGAGAATTTGCAAAAATAAAGAAAATTGAGGTTGGAGTGCCGTTGGGATTGCATTCGAATTCATGTAGCTCATGTATGCAAAAGCGAGAATGACCAATGAATAGCTCTTTATTTCTTTTCCCTATATGCCATACATGAGACTCTGCTGAATTTTCTAGAGTTTTCCAGAGAATGAAGAAATGTAATTGAGCTTATGTAACGATTATATAGCATACAATTTTGCGTTCTCACTCTTTTGCATACCGTTACCCAACCGATGAATGAATGTACGACCGGAATCGCATAGCAAAAAAGTAATTTCCACGCAACGGTTCCTTTTTCTCCTTTTCGTCCTTCTAATTCGTAGCATATCACCAAAAGAAGCATGTATTGTCATCACAATATAACTGCTCGTTTGTCGGCGCTATTTACCGAAAAACACACATTTGCACCTCTATCGATCCACTAGTGAGAAATCCTTTCAATACTTGTCCTAATCGCTCATTGAATTGCATAACATTCGCGTATAAGAAGAAAAACGAGCGACTGCCAAAGCGCAATGATTCGTTCTGCTTCACCGATAGCGCATCTGTTCGCCCAAAGAAAAGAACACCTAGTAAAGGCGTCGCAAAACAAGGTCGCGTGCGGTGCGCGCACGCGTCTGCGCGCGTTTACGCGCGCACAGCTGTTCGAGTGCACTCGTACTGCTCGGGATGAATCACCGCAAAAAGGCCACCGTTTCACACCTGCGGCTTAGAAGAGACAAATCGGGCCCACAATTGTGCTCGCGGGTGTTACAACCGACTATTTATCAAGTCGTTATACTTGTGGCAGACGGCCGCAGGAATTGATAGGCGCAATGAAGGCGCCTCAAAGAAACGTGTTGCTAGGTTCCCAATGTTGCGTTGCAAAGCAATAGCCGAAACAAATGGGCCTTTTCACAGCTTGTTGGCAGCATTCCATATGTGGCTTCATTTGGATAAAAAACGTGCATTTGCACAACTCGGCATCTACAATAAATGCGAACCTATACGCAAAACTGCTGACCTACTTATCAACAATCAGATATACGGTGAAGGAGAAAAAGGCAAAAACCATTTTGAGAAAAAAACTCGATTTTTCGCTGTATCGTGGAGTCATTTGTAGAATTTGGGAAACTGCACACGGAGTGCCGCAAACTACGACTATTTATTTACTTGAAGGACTGCTCAATTGAGAAATCTCACAAAAAGTAGATATCATAAACATTCATACCTAACCTCATTTAAAAAGACGAAAAAATAAAGAAATCAATGGTAACTAGCAACTTATTTACATAAGTCGTCTTATACCGCGCATACTGTGCAATACACATACCGAATTATGAGATAACACAACTGTGAAAATTGGAGAGTTCAATTGAAATATGTATGCTGTAAGGCAGTACAATCCTTCGCCGCTCGATTATGATGTGCAATTACATAAATTTTCGGGAAAGAGTTCTGAGGCTTAAGGTTTATTTTTATTTTGATATTGGAAAATGGGAGGAAAATTGCGAAATAGGATTCGAAGACTTTTTTTTGAAAATTTTCTGTTAGACATTACTAGCTGAAAATTTCTTTGTCTACTAGGACTAGGACAGAGGTGTTTTCAAAAAAATTTTTGGATCAAAATAATCCCATCTAACATATAAAAAAATCGTAAGGTGCATTCAAAAATCATCAGATAGCGGGAAACCGAGCGGGTCCCGAAGCGAGCGCGCCTGCCAGTTTGCACCCTTGAGATTACTGGTTCACTGGTATTTAAATAAAATGGAAGTACCATCTCAGCGTATTAGATATCTATAAGAATCCACAGCGAAACCGCTACTCAAATTCTGGCAAAAATGTTCGAACATCTTCCACCTCTATTTTTTTTTGTAAACTGCTCCTATATATCTTCACTTTGAAGTGTTCATAACCAGAATTACATTGATTCAATACAATAACTTTAACTTTGCCCTCTATTGAATTGTATTCCCTGTAAAAGGACTTCACTTCAGCTCGATTTGCCTCTCTATCAAGACGTTACGCCTTTTTTCCCAGAACATATTATCGGTGCGAACTTCTGCGCCGAACCCCAAGCAAGAAATGCGATAAATACGATTGACAGTTATGGTTTTGGGCTACTTTTGTGCTTCTAGAACCTTTACAAAAAGTTTTGATAAGCATGCAAAGAATTATCATGTTTGGCTGGCTGTAAATTGTTCTGTTAAGGTCTTTGCAGCTCTAAGCTGTTTGATAGTTACTTAGTGTCTGAGAAGTTTGGTAACATAGTTCTACCAATGTATTTTCACGACAAAGATTCTACGTTCTATGTAACATAAGAGAAATGTTTGGAGTTTTTTGCTGAGAAAATCGGCGAGGAAAGCCATTTTGTTCCGACAAACCAGTAAAGGGGCAAAGGTACAAAGCAGTTATGAGGTGAATGGGTTCTGGTGAAACATCTTATCGATTGATGATACTCAAACCATTCAGAATATTTTTTATGGTTCGAATACAATTAGATCAACAATAGAAAAGTAACAGTGATAAACGATTATTTTTTTGTTAACTGAAAAACGACTAAAAAAGCCTACGCTAAGTAATGCGTTAAATTGGCAAATCTCCATCTACAGATCAAAATCCAATTATTTACTTTAAGTTTAGGGGAACGTTACTAGGAAGAGTCAAATCACCAGGATATGGAATTCTAAGTTAGCATAGTTCTGGTTATTTATACGATACATAGACAAAGAGAAAGCGAAATAAGTAGAAGTTAAGAAAAAGGAAATTTTCATCAGAAATATATGACACTTACAAAAATATTTCGAGTTTATTACAAGAATATAAAAAAACATATCTTTGAATTTTTTTTATCGCTTATCAGCTTTGAGGGTGTAAAATTTGAAGGAGCAAATTGTACAAGGAAATCAAAACTTTGTCAAAAATCTTGCCAGCACCTAAAGTTCGCAAAAAGGTATATTGTGGCTTTTCTTTGATTTTCCCGCCAATTTTTGTTAGTGAATTGGAAGTTACTACAGATTTTGCAAATTCTGTCACAATCTCAGATGAATCGCATTTCACGGATGCAACTGTTCTTTTGTTGCTCGAGATGAGGGCTCTATGACAATTACTCAACTTTTTGCACTTCTTCCAACTTGCAGCCAGACCGCTACATAAGCAGAGTACCAGAGCAAAAAATCAATAAAAAATTGTCGAGGGTCAGGAAAAATTCAAATAGGAAAAACGGTTCCGTAGTTCATAGTATAGCCGACAAAGAACAAGTTTTTGAATGGAGTGAGAGCGAGTGTATATCACTCAATGGTCACAAAAGAAGCGGGTTACGCTAGTTCTGAACGATATTTTGAAGCAAAGATCAACCGGGGGGGGGGGGAGGAAAAGGTTCAAAAAAGCAGAATTAGGGCTAAAAGTAACATAAGTGGCCCACCTGGTCACCTGCTCGTTCACCATAGTCTAACAGCTGCGTTTGTGCACATATAAACGTTATAGTAGATAGTAATAGTAGCAATTTGAGGCGCATCTTCGTCCTCGTCGATGGTTCGTTCGATCAGAAGGAATAGTTAGACGTATAACAACGAGTTCCTAAGAAAAATGTGTGCGATTGCCCGTTCGGGAATGGCGTTAGGTCAACGTCTCGAACAGAATAAGAGCTGCAGTAGTGATAAGAAGGGTGCATGCAAGGAAAAAATGACCAAATACAACCGTTGGAGCGATAAGACGTGAGTGAGTGAGATTAGGAGGAGCTAGGTGATAGGAAAAGAGCAAAGGAGGAATAGGGAAAGGATATGAAAAAAGAGAAGAAAGAGGAAAGAATAGTATAGAAGAAATGATCCAACTGCAAGCGCGGGATGATTCAGAATCGGCCGAGCAGCCCCCCTCCGCTCCCTTCCCCCGCTTCCACTACCAACAGCACTACCATCCCCACCAAACCACACCAAACCACACCAGCATCACCATCACCTCCACCGCCTCCCCACTCTTTCTCGCACCACCAGCATCACCACCGATCTGTGTGATTGTTGCCGGTCGCGCGCGCCTCGGCGTTCCAAGCAGCCCTTTGGGGAGGGGGAAAGGGGGGGGGGGAGGGGCCAGCTAAGTTGTAATTGGGTTCCGAGGTCAAGACCGGAGGTGGTCCTGAAAAGATTTAGGGCTGTCCTCAAGCAGTTGTTCCAGTTGTATTTTGTGGAAGCGATGATTTACTGCATAAAATGACCACAAAATAATCAAAAATTTGTTGAATAGCTTCAGAAATGCTCGGGAAATTTTGCTTGAATTTTTTTTCAATTTCTCATTAACCTGGTAAGTAGTACGAGAATGTCAAAAAAGTCAATGAGGAATATTTATGAAACAATTCGCACATGTAATCGCAGTTAGAGTATCATACGTTATTTTTTAGTCCTTCTCAGAAAAAAGAGAAGGTTTTCAGTAATGCGAAAAAGTCCCGATTATATACTCGAATTTCAAATCTGAATCACTGTAAGTAGACATTACCTGTTAAAAACGTAAAAATTTGAAATTGTGTAAACTATAGCACATTCAAACCGCGTAATTCCGCATATGATTAGCGGAACTAGAACGAGTCTCAAATTAGAATTTTTATCACTTCGAAGTCCAGTAAAAATCATTCCAGTTTTGGCTAATCAAAGCTAACCGAAAAGAAGGAATGGTGGAAATGGAACAGCGAAAAATCATTGCGACATGTGATAATTTCGCAGAACGTTATTTTGTTGCAAAATTACCTTAATTTCGTGATATTTTTCTTAGTTGAATTCATTTTTTTGCTTCTCTAGAAATATTGGTCGCGTTTTGAGCCCAATGTTCAGTCGGAAATCTTACTTCTACTCCAACTACAACAGCGATACAGAATGTGAAAAAATTACCTCAAATATGACGACGGGTAATATAATAAGAGAAAAAGAAAAACAGAGTAATTCTAATTTCCGTTTCGATCCTTTCACTATACGGAAATTAGATTGGCATACGGCCTTCCCCGGATCTCATCAGTAGTGAAGGAAGGCCGTAGGGTAAAACATTTATCCCAACATAGATTTCTTGTATTTCATTCAGAAATGTCTTTACGTCACTCGTCGTCGTTTAAACTTGGAACTAGTCCAGCTAAAAGTTTTTGCTTATGCTCCCATCTACAAAAGCGTAGGAACTACCAAAAATGTACGAAACCCTAAAAACAATAATCGGACTTAATCGATGCAAAAACTTTGGACGAATGACCATGTGTACTATACGATTTTCTCATGTATATAGCATTCCAAGCTCCCGTAGCATTTATTAACGTTCGTATTGTCGTCAGAATACTCTTCTGGTGGTCTATTTGGGGGTGGGGGGGGGGGGAAGGGGAGAAAACTTCACTATCTTCATTTTCAGTTTTTATTTCCTTAGTTTTCTAATAGACGGTTGCAAACCGTTCTCTAATTTTAGCAAAATTTCCAAGTATCTGAATGCTAACAAATCCTAAGAAAACCTTCTTCTCTTGTACTTGTTCAACACCAGGTCTCAAATTAGCGCTAATGGGTTTGATAATGTTTGAGTACTACAAAGAGGATAGCAAATAAATCTTTAGTATTTTCCACAGTTTGGCAAACTTTTTTTGCTGGTGTTTACCCTTCTCCGCTTATCAAAGAATTTGCTGCGATGGAAAACCAAGGCTTATACGAAAGAGTTATTCACAGCGTTTTTCAGATAAGCTTAGCCGATTATAGGCAAAGGCGGATTTTTTCGAAGCGAACACTTCAGAAAAGTAAACAAATGGTTCTGCGGATTTTGCAGGGAAACTGTAGGTTACATAAACTTATAAACTTATGTAAATTGTCGTAAAATACCTCAACCCACTTACGATGAATTTCAGCTTTGATGATCCATCCCATCATAGGCATTGTTTCCTATCTGAGACTCACGTGGGAGTCAAAGTTATAGAGCTGTTTACTTAAAATCTACTTATTTGCTCAGTCAATTTCATGGAATTTCTAAAAAATTTCTAAAAATTCACCATGTTCAAGTTATCGTCAAAGGGTTCCGGTCCCAGTAAAATTGCAAAATTCTTCTGCAAAAAATCAACAAATCACTCAGAGGGTTCGCCTCTTTGAGAAACTCCATTATCTAGTAAATCACTTTTACTCCTCTAATAAAATTGAAGTTACGTAATGCTAATACTAAGGCCATCACAAATTATGTTACAAATTATAATTTTAGAATCAAAAATCTGCAGTGTATTTCAAAAAATGAATAGGTTATCTAGATTTAATCGTTGCTGGGTGTGTTAACTGATCTTCCAGTTAAATTTGGAACTTTCAATCCAGCCTAAACCAATCAGATTCACATAAAATCAATTACAAGCATTTGATGCATTTTAAACTCGTAGTTAATTACACGAATATAGAAGCAATAAGTGGTCAATATAATTATGTAATAAATAATAAAAACGAGGAATCGCAAATATCTTTCAGATTTGAACTCGGTTAGAGCTTAGGAAACTTGCTTAGCATCTCCGAAATTTTGGGAAATTTCTCGAAAATTTAACAGGATTATCCTTCCTTGGATCGAATCCATTTGCAGCTGCTATTTTTCTGCGAAGTTAAGTTCGTTAAAGAAAAGTTTTATTTTCTAGAATTTTTGCTTCACTGTAACGTGGTAAATAAAGGCATACGCAAGGAATGTAAAAGGTGAGTGATTTGCTCCTAAGCTAACAGTTCGTCCGCTTCGGTCCTAAAAGACGAGAGACGACACAGCAATAATCGTTATACGGGCTGGAAAGGTCGTTGTCATCTCTTTAAGGCGATAAATACGCAGATGGAAGTGACAATTACTATGATTTATATGTAAACTGGTAGTTTCCACGTTGTTACATCTGATTTCTTGAGATTGAGGACTCTTCATATGAGGGTAGGGGGTGAGGGAGTGGGAGAGGAGAATTGTGAAGAGTAAAGGTACAAACTGGTTTGTCATGTCCTTCGTCATGAATTCTTTGAATATATCAGGTCGTCACATAAGTTTTATTACACTTTTTCTTCTACCTCTAAAAAGTTCCAGAAAATTTGGCAAAGTTTCATATCTGGAATTTGTAGGGAAGGGAAGAGGGCTATCCAAAGGCATTTTTTCCTCCACGGACATAGGTAACAATAAATACAAAGACAATTCTCTTTCTTTCAGCATTTCAGCTTTCGTGTTTTTCTCGATTTCTCAAAAATTTTCTCTTCATCTTTTAAGAATCTCTTTGGACTTTCTCGAGCATCACTGGAATTACGAAGACAGTTTGGAGTTTTCTAAAAAAGCAATTTGGACACTTGCCGAGAATCAATGCAAAAAAAATTTCAAAGAATTTAGGAAATGAGTTATGCACTTGTGGCATGCAATTATTGTAATCCCTCCACATGGTTTGGAAATGAGGAAAACTCCCTTGAAGATTTTTTAGAACTTTTTGTCAAAACTCATGGAACGGTTCAATAAATCATGTTGATAAGAATCATTTTTTAATACATTCAGTTTTTATGACTCTATTGTAAAGTGCTTTGTTCTTAAATTTTCGTCTAATCCTTTTGTGGCAAGTCTCAAAGCGTATGAAGTAAATGAATTGGTAAATAATTAACTCAAAAGGTATACGGTAGTAGGTTAAGTGACAGGACTCTCCGTACATTAGCCGTGAGCCTCGACCAGAGAAAGTAAGATGAGCGAAAATTGGACTTTACGAATAAGCTGTAAACTTTTTTCAAGTTTTTTTTTCAAAAAGTTTTGAGCAATTCAAATTTGTTAGATAGGTAGGTTTCATTATGGTACCGTCGAAAAAGAAGGGAAAGGAGCGAGGTTACGGGGTGTTGAAGGGTGGGAGTCAGAGCTCGATCACAAGGACTTAGTTTTTATTGTAAACAAACCAAATAGAAGACTTTTGAGTCTAATTCGAAAGGAAAGGTTTTAATCAATTTAACGGCATTCGTTTGTATGCCATTGCATGTTTTTGAATATTTAGATTTTTAGATTTGAGTTAGAAACTTTTGGGGAAATAAAAATTTTCAAAATTCAAAAAATATATCAAATACAAAAATTCACACTTTCAGAACAAGACCAGCAAAACATTGCTCTACAACTTCATTTCACCTACGCAAATGTTTCAAACGCCCACCAATCACTCAAACTTTTCACGCCGCAATTGACAGCTACACACGTATAGTTTGTAGCAAACGAGGAGAGAAAACAAAGAGAGAAAGGAAAACCACATAAGTAGAGAGTACTTCTAGCATTTCTGCAAATGTGCGAGATGGTCACCACACTACATTTGAAAGAACAACTGTTGGTGAGAAAGTTAGCAGCAGCAGGTCGCTACGGCGCGAGGTCTGGCGACCTCCCGTAGCTCCACTAAAAAGCCAAACCGCGCAGTATAAGATTGCATCCGGACAGACATTGGCAGATATTCTGGCACATTAGGACCACTTGAAGTTGATGAGAACTGGGTATCAATTTTTTAGTGGATTAGTCACACCAGACGTTAGGTCTCCGCGATAGGTTGTTCCATAAATTCCTACAAAAACTATTTCAAAAAAACGTTCAGAATCATCTAACAGAACGACTCTATTCTTACTATGTTGTTTTCGTAATGTACAAGAAATGTTTTTGCTGCTATGAG